CGTAGTGACTAAGTGTATCCCAAGGGATACCGTGGTTTATCTGGAGTCGGCCACAATTTTAAATGGGTGACCAAGGCAGTGCAACGCTGGCTGACAAAAAAAAGGATATTATAGAGTGGCTAATCATCAACGAGCGGAAAAAGTGGATGTAAAACAGATTGAACGCATCATTTTTAAGCGACTACTTCTACGAAGGAGAAACAAACTTGTTTTGAAGGGAGCGACCCTGGTTCCTGGGTGGGGCTTATAGCTGAGTCTGTACCGGAAAATAATCCATGGTCACGTAGAGTCAGAGAGATGAAGAGCGGCCAACAGGTCGACCAGGTCATGCGGTGGGGCCGAGTCGACATCAGCGCGAGCGACAGGGACAGCAGTCACGACTGGAGGTAACCCCTCACCCAGGGTGACTAGATCCAGCTTCACCGGTGACGAAGTCGACCGCGTGGTCACGGCCGCCTCACCAGCGTTCACCAACGGTGACTACTTTGGATATCCGGGGTCGATGTCCGCTTGGGCAGAGACCTCTGTCGAGGGTTCAGGTGGTGGCGAAGGAGTCGGAGCCGGACCCTCAGATGGTAAATCGATCCCGGTGAAGATATAGCTGCAAGCACACAGGGAGAAGATAACATGACATTACCCACAAGAACAGATGAGACTTAAGATTCAGGCGTGGTGACGACACTTTCGTGCTCGAACCGCTGTACGGTCGAACAAGTGCAAGGGGCAGCTGTCGTTAAGCGAATTTTCGAGAATGATGAACTTAAGGGTCGATGAGCCGGATGGACATGGGACCTTGTGATCGGGAAAGGGACCGGATACTTGGGGTCACAGGTAAGAAGTAGTCGTTGAGTCTAACCGTGACGAGCGGTTAAGGTTACTGCTAACGGGGTCAAACCGACCGACGGTACCAGTTAAATGGTACCGATATGGACCGTTCTCAACCACTCATCGGTCGGCAGGGTGGCCCAAGGTGGACCTCGGTTCCCCGTAGGCCTACCCGGTCGCCCTCGTCGGTCTTGTAGACGGTCCAGCACACAAGTAATCCTTCGTTGCTGATCTCATAATCTCTGGCCAATTTGCTGCATGACTATGCCGATGCTGTCGATAGGCCGCCTAGGTCCCCTTCTGAAAATGCTTTCAAATTCATATCTAGCTCTCCTTCTCTGAAGCCTTCCAAAAACTTTCCACTCGCCGCTGTTGTATCACACCTCCTTGATCGTTCCTCCGGATGTTATTATGGGTGGCCTGGATCGGGTCACTGCGTATACTCTAGATGTCAGATTCTGGGCTTTGGGGACCATCACCTCTGGCAGTCGGTTAATCACTTCCGACCTTGGCCACTCTTCCCTCGGTACAGACTCGACCCCTTCTTGTCTGTGTAATGTTTTACTAGACAGATGGTCGGCACTATGGTTCCAACCGCACTTCACGTGGAGTATCTCGTGGAATTCCACGACTGAAGTTTGATCAGAGCTCTTGCTCGCAACAAAGAGAACCTTGAAGCCTTGCACCCGATCTCTCCGCGCATCTGCCGGACAACCAGATTGGATTCTCCGCAGATGATTAGCCTCCTTCGTTCCAACGGCTCTAGCAAATCGAAGCCCAGAAACATGCCTCGTGTTCGGCTTCATTCACCGTGAATACCTTGAGATAATTTGTGGCGGCGCTTACTACCGACCAAATAGAAAGTCTCCAGACGACGGCGCTACAAGCTCCACCTCCTTGTTTCGCACGAACTGAAACAGTAAAGCTCAGTACACATAGCTACTCGTCTTTTTGCACAGTAGGCGTAGGTAGTTCAAGCTTCCGTTTCGCCTGTTTTTGGGTGCGATATCCGATAGGATCAAGTCTACAATCTCGCGGGGGAGGAATACTGGCCGATAACGCCCCTAGCACTTGGGCTTCGTCTTTCTTGCACTTCACAATCTCTAATGTCCACTGTAACAAGAAAATGGCCCAATTTCCCAAACTCCCCTGCAATCTAGAGGTTTTGACCAACAATGCCAATTTCAAGTGTCTCGTTAATACTTTGAGAGGTAGGGTGACCAGAATCGTAAAACAAGTTTCCAATATCCACAACAACGCCAACACTACTTTCTCCACGGTACTGTAGTTCAACTCGTTGGCCTTGAGTGTCCGGCTCGTGAAGGTCACTGGCATAAATAGGCCGTCATAGTCCTGCACCAATGACGCTGAGATGGCCCATTCGCTCGCGTAGACAATAATCACCGCTTCTTTCGATGGGTCGAAACGCCGCAAAATAGATGCTGTAGCCATCTCGTTCTTGAGCATATCTAAAACCACTTGGACTCTAGACCACTTCTCTTCGTCTTCACCCGTGGTCACTGAGTGGTGACCATCCTTTAACTTGCATCACCACGTGTGGAAGTCCACATCTCTCAACTCGTATCGGATCGACGCAAAGATAGCATAATCCTAGATTAACCTGCTGTAGAAATTCAGACTTACGAGGAATGACTGCATGGACTTGAGATTTGTTGGAAGAGGTAGGTCGACTAGTGCTTGGAGGTCCTTTGGGTGGTCATCCAAACCTTCTCTGGATACCCGGTGGTCGAGATAGTCGACTCTTTGACATCCCCACGATCTATTGATTGCTCTAATTGACAAATTCCAGTAGTAGCACACGTCCAACAACCGTTCCACCTTTTCGCATAACACATTCCAAGATATAGCGGGTATAAGTATGTCATCTATGTACGACCGACTACCCAATATCGAGGGGCCTGACTTTTGTCTGGTTCCCCCGAAGCAAACAAATCTTCTGGCTCATCCAAGCTGTTCCCTAGAGGTATACGTAAGAACCCATATAACATGTTGCCCAAACGTCGCTGGTAGAGCTGTTGTGCATTCTTGAGTCCAAATGGCATCCGGAGCCATTCGAACAGTCCCAACGGTGTGACAAAAGCTGAAATCAACCTTGTCCTCTCCGTCATGCCGACCACCCAGAAACCACTTTCCATATCTAGAGATCGGTACCACAACGCACTACCCAAGTCTTCCAGGAGCTCGTTTATCAGTGGCATGGGGTATAGCATGAGTTGAGTCAAGTTCGTTTACCAACCGGTAGTCAATACACACCCTGATGTCTATCCCATTCTTCTTCACAATTATCACTATTGAACTGGCCCACGGTGAGGTAGACGGTTGAATAATCGTCGCTGACAGTAGACCTTTAATTAGTTCGGCCAACTTTTCTTTGAACTGAGGGTCTACCTTTCGCACGCGTTGTGCAATCGGTCTCGCATTTCTCTCGTCAATATCGCATATGGCACCACGAGCGGATGGTGGTAGGGCGATGTCTTTTCCCATTAGCAGATGTCGCTTCTTCCATATGATTTGCCTCAATCAATCCACCTCTTCAGGCGTGTTCCCATTCGAAACAGGGATCTGTGTGTCCTTTAACTTAATGCCTTCGGGCGAGGGGTCTACTTCTGGTATTACTTCCTACCCTTGACTAGTTACTTCGGCCCTGAGTTCCCGCTCTCAAAAGTTCGCACTTGTTCATCGGCTTGTGCTAGGTCCTCGCGTTTCGTTCTTGCTTCGGGGACACCGGCCTCCATATACTAAGTGATTGTGGCTTCCATCGACTTAGGGCCGGTAGCTTCTAGAGGTTGGGCTACGGAGGTCGTTTCTTCGCATGTTGGCGATTCCTCCACTGGAAGCTGTTGGGATGAAATGGTCATTACCGGGGTGGCCTCTCTCGGTCACTGCAGAATATTTAATGGGGTCTCATACTGAGGGTTTTCCACTAATGACCCTCGTATTCCTCCATCGGGTCCAACTGATGGCTGGTCTGGTTGGTGGTAGCTTCGTATGCCAAATTCTACCGCTCAGCGTATATTCGAGAGCCCACAGTGACGAACCCTAGTGTCCTCGGTATTCGATCCTTCGCTAATAACATTCCAATCTTGGTGTCGTCATGTAGCCTTCAAAATTTTATGCTGACATCGGTAACCTTCAATAATTTACGTCGGCCTACCCCTCGGATCACCGTAATGACCCACCATTCTCCTCTCGTCACCCATAGCACACTCTGCTCCAAGGTCGATGTTTTCAGGGGTACTTCCACATACCCTCCAACAGATAACTGTGCAAATTGGCCCAGCCTCACGTCTGTCACTCTGCCCCTGTAAAGCGTTCGTCTGCCGGTCAGTTGTATAAGAAATTCATCAGGGAGAAAGCATGATCCACTCCCCCAGGTCCAAGAGGATACCAGCTGGGACCATGAAGTCCATCCCCAAATCGCATCTTGTCCTAATATGGGGACGACCCATACCTTAAAGATTATATGCTAAGCTTCCGTTCAGAGTGATCTTGATTCGAATGCGCTTTTCTGTTGTACAAATTGATTCCCCAATACCGACACATTCTTGTCTTGCACTTTCGTCAATCTGGCAGCCAACCTTACGAGCAAAGGAGATATTCAAAGTATATATCGCGGCACCAGTATCAAACAACAAGTTTGCGCGATCGTTATTGACTTTTCCAGAGGCCTTGGTCTGTTTAAACCACTTCAAGAAGAGCATGGTTTTTATACTAGCCCCAGGATTCGCCTGGTAGTAGGCCCACTTCCATCACTACATCTCCTCGAGCATGGCCATTAGGGTCATTAAGACAAGCAACATGAACCACATAGTAGTTTCCAATCTTCGATATTCCCAATCTTCCTAGCTGCGGTATCTTCCTTGAAAATCTTTTTCCTGTGGTACCTACATCTTCTTCGAAGCTCTTCCCACATTAGCAAAGACATGACAATTAGAACGCTCGGCTCGTACCAGATTCAAATTTGGAGAGCGTTCTAATTTATCGTCTCCTCCGCCTTCTCCAGCAACATCCCAGCGTGCTTGGTCGGGTTGTACCATTGACGGATCAAGATATAAAACTCTTTCATCTGGCACTTTCCGCCCTCGTGGGCCTCTCCACACCCGTTTCACACAAACAAACAACGGTCCGTTGGGTGACCCTTCTTCCCACAGCGGTCACACTTGAGTCGTTTCCAGCAGCCCAAATTTCATGTCATGTTTTCGAGATCTACAATGAGCGCACTTCTGGTATTGAGCGGCCGGTGACGGGAGAGCTCTCTGGTCACCTTCCTGGTAACGGTGGTACTCGTCCTCTCGGGTAGGCCTGACTCTTCGGGTCTTTGCACCTGATTCTCTCTGCCCTTCCATCCCTATAAAGTAAATTTGTCTCAAGTCACTTTGACCACCTGAGTCGTCCGAGCTCAAATCTTCAGAACTCGGCTCTTCCAAGGTCGTCCGAACCGCATATGCCGACCGGCGGTTTACTTCTCTCGGTCGGTCGGGGGGGACGGGTGCCTCTTGGCTCAACTTGATTGATCTAAAGAGTAACTTGCCTCGCCACGCTTTCGTCCTCTGCCTGAATCTCAGCACGTCTTCCAATTTATTCACATCCACTCGACGAAATATCGTGAGCTGGTCCGCCAGTTCCAGGTCGTCTAAAGTTTCGATGTAGTGCTCGACGTGTTCCTTGTGTACCTTGGGCGGTCCGTCCTTGATCTTGATTTTCGCCCCGAGTCCAATCACATAGAGTCGGTACAGGTAGTCTAATGGTGACTCATCGGACCTCTTCTTCGCATGGTAGTATTGGTGAGCAACTGACACTCCGAAACCGCAGAACTGCATCTGGAACTATTGTAGTAGATCTTTCCAGCTTGATCAAACCAATCGATCCAATCGGCAATTCCAGTTCTGAGCTGGTACAGTTAGCAATCCACCGAAGATAAGACACTTTTCATCGTCGGGCGCTTGGTCTCTCGTAAACGCAGTCTTCACAGTGGTCACCCTACTGCGTACTGGGTCCTCGTCTTGATCTCTTCCGTGGAAATCCTTGAGGTTCGATGTTTGCTGCAACTTTAATGTGAGAAACCATGTTGGGCATTTGTCCTACTATAACTGTTGCCATCCTCGCCAGTGGTCTCTCCAAGTCCATGTTTTCTGAGTCGTACTCGCACGTACCGACTGATTCCATCTCCACGTCATTCATAGTATGTCGTCTAGAAACTTGCTTTCGGATCCTCGATGCTTGTTGAGCCGCTATCACCTGAGCCCTTTGTGCCTCTGCGATCGCCCTTCCATCTTGGTATCCTTGTTGAACCTGACGTTCCTGTAGGAATCGTGCCATCGCCGCGTAGAAGTGTATATGCAAGTTAATTACCGTGTTGCTAGGCACGCCCCCCCCAGCATCTTCGTCACGGGGTGGTGCAGAATTCCTGTTACGACCGTGCTGCATTCCGATTGGGTGAAAATTCACCCTATCAGGGTCTTGGATGTCCTTTGGGTGGACACGTGTCGCCGTTTAGTTAATACACTGATTTTTCTCTTCGCCCCTTGCACAAGCCTGGAGCATCGCTGCTCCTGCCGGTCCCAGTGGCATCCTGTCGTACTAGTCAGGAGTAGACGAGCTGTGTGACGACCGATCATTCGCGTCCTGGATACCTGGCAGGAGAGTCGGTGGTGGGGGACGGCGCATCACCCTCAGTTGTCGAGCTGTGCTCGCGCTTGGGGTTGGGTTTCGAAGTCTTGGAGCGTCATCTGGATATCGCGAGACGGTGCCGTCATAGACTGCGCTGGTGGTACGTTGTTGTGTCTGGTAATGGTACCAACCAAAATCACCATTCGCTTGTGCAACTTCTCTCATGTGCTTGAGATGCGGTTGAACCCCAGGTCGATCAAAGTGTTTGACTTGAATCTTCCTGCACCCATGTTTGCCTCGCGGAGGAGGGTTACCAGCGCATTGGCCGCCTAGGTGACCGTCAGAGAAGTCGTGGTAGGGGGTGACACCGTTACCACTAGTCGTCAGAGTAGCTAGATCTCAAGGGTTTTGCGATGGAGTCGCTTGACAGGAGTGTTTTACAGCTTTGTCGGTGTTAGGCAATCGTTACCGCATTGTCCGACCATGCAGGCGGCCCTGCTTGGGCAGGGCCCACCGACTTGGTGTCCGCTGGCGTCTTCGTGTTTTTTTTGGCTTGAACTTGGTGATTTTGGCTTTTTGTCGGTAGCGGGAACAATAGCTTTCCAGATTGCGTCGTAGTCAGATGACCCGACTCCGTTAATGGACCTGAGGTGTCTGGACCTATCCACTTGGTGTCCCCCGGCGCTTTCATCCTGGTTTCATTCGGCTTGGACTTGGCTACCAGAAATGATTGTTGTTTCGGGGATCATAACTTGTCGGTTTTCACCATCGGTTGATGGTCCACTGGGGAATGATAGGTATCATGACCCAAGACGCCCTTAACGAGGACGTAGGGGGGGGGTAGGTTTCTCTTCAATAATTACAACCTTGACCATGTTGACCGGACCCTTCCTAAGGTCCGGTCGGTCCTTCGACTCTTCGTTATTGTCTTCTCGTGTCACTGGCGGTCGGTCTTCCAGTGGTTATTAGGTCTTCGTTTCTATTGTGACCTTGGCGTCTTCTTCATTTTGGGACTCGCGGTGAAATCCCGCGTCTTCCGAAGATCCGGGCACGCACACCATTGTGGTGGAGTGTTTTGTCAAAACTGTTTGACGAGACCCCAAACCACTCACTGTGCCGGACTGCCGACTGTTGGAGGGAGTACCCCGATGCCGCTTGTGGAACTTGGCCACCTTGTGTATTCGTCGGCTTAGAGAGTTTCACTCTTCGGAGGACTTGGTGATTATGTAGACGTCGGCCTTGATGGAGGTCGAACTGGGGGGGCGTGTGGATACGCTTCAGTCGGGTTCCAATGTAGGCGGCCACTCGATCGACTTGATCGACAGTGGTCTTATAACCAGTTATCTCAGGTGCTGGTGGCGCCTGGTCTATACTTTTTTCAGGGGTATTAACCGCCTGGCCTGTACGCTTCTTCTCCCTTACCACTAGGGTATGGAGACTGCTTCCAATAGCGAGCTTGGGTTGGGGAGGCTACTCTACAAAAACACAGGCCAATATACTTCCAGGGGGTTCTACTTGCGCTCGTGTCGTGCTGACATCTGTCTATTCAACGGGTGGGACAAACAGATCCCTGGCCGGAACAGGTCGGTAGACTTACAAGTTTCTTAGCGCACGACACGTTGTGCTACTTAGATCGCAAAATGATCAGTACTTAACGTTATCCTATCCTTTAAACTCCTTTACTCTATTTTTGCCTTGCGCCTGGGTTCGCAATGATGAGTGGCTAGGAGCCTCCAGACCTTGAGGGATCGATTCGACCTATAAGTGACCAGGTCGGCCGATGGGTGGCCAGGTCGGCTTACGGGTTACCGAGGCCAACCAGGCCGACCTATGAATGGTCAGGTCGGCCTACGGGGAACGATGCCCACCTTGGGCGACCAAGCCGACCGACGAGTGGTTGAGAACGGTCCATATCGGTACCATTTAACTGGTACCGTCGGTCGGTTTGACCCCGTTAGCAGTAACCTTAACCGCTCGTCACGGTTGGAATCAACGGCCGCTCCTTACCTGTGACCCCAAGTATCCGGTCCCTTCCCGACCGCGAGTTCCCATGCCCGTCCGGCTCATCGACCCATAAGTCCATCATTTTCGAATACTCGCTTCATTACACACATAACACTCACACGTCAACACGTTAACCATATGTAGCTAAAACAGTCTCATAACAAAGCGCCTTAGCAAGGTATCATATCTGGGGTTTCTTCGGCTTTGATACTTTGTATAGAATAGTACTGATATCTGATCCCTTATGAATACCGCACATTCATACACTACGTTTTAGTATTAACAACCGTATAAGACATTAAATAGATGGATTACCATCATTTTTGTACATCTCCCTCCTCTCCTTCCTTTAACACATTGCTCGACATGCGCGGAAGGCCGCGAGACCCCCCCCCGCACAGTTCATATCCGAGCAATGGAAGATCTCTGCCAAAGGTGGTTGGCCCTGAGATGAGGTTGGAGGGGCGGCCCATCTCGATTGGCCAACTGAGGATTGAGGGGTGGAAGGAAAATGATATGGTAGGATGACTTAGCGTAATACTATACATTGATTAAGTGCTGAAATGGTGCTGGTATTGGGACTAGTGCTGATGTTGCGACTTTGCGAGTACTTAGTGCTGGTATTGCGACTTACCCGTGAAAAGACCATGGATCATCTGTTTCGGTAATTTAAAGCTCTACGACTCTGGGAAAAGTGGTCGCGCTCTAGAACGAGGAAAACACACCTCTCCAGAGGACGCAACAAATCTTCAGTGTGAGTGCTCGCGGACAAGTTTACAGTCTACCTTTGTGTATAGGAAAGAAAATTTAGCCGACAGGTTTCAGGATGCTGTTTAAGGTGCATAAAGAGTATGGATAAACGTTTGGCACATTCTTGCTACTGCGTGACCAATCAAGATATGTAGAGATATGAATGCAGCTGTCTACGGGGCAGTATCATTCGGTAGGAACGCAGAAACACATCAAGCTTTTGGCTTTGTGCGTCGGTAACCCACAAAATGTCGCGAAGAAAGAACATACAAAGGTTAATTATGCATTTTAATGTGCCGTACTCGTTGTATTTATCGAGATGCTGGAGCAAGAACCAAGTAGATCACTAGTTCAAACTGATGTCACCCAATATCTACCCCGGGTCACTCCTTGAAGGAAATTTATCGCTTATGAACTACAGTTAATCTTGCACATAGGTGAAGAACTGGCGTAAATGGACTACCTGACCACCAATACCTGAAGCTACCCCTCATCGCAGATAGTCTTTCAAAAAGGGATCCAAACCGTTCAATCAAAGGGCGGTATTATTAGTACAGTCAATTTCCTACTTAATTAGCCAATTACCAATAATACAGTATGTATAACGGTATGAGGGGTGTGTGGCGGGCAAAAAGTGGGTGTGCGGATAACTATGTCCATTGTTAATTATCAGTCTAGAATGTTACTGGAAGTTTGCACTGCAACCACGTTTACTTTCCGTCACCTACCCGTCACCGCCTAACCCCAGAGAATAAGGAGACTTGGCACGGATAGGAAACATGGCCCTCCATCTACGAAATCTGTACAAAATGCCCACTATTCTCTCAAAGCCTTTATACACGTCTTTACTGAAATGCTACTATTTCTAACACATTTTAATCTTGCAGGACTTAAATGTCCACAATCAAAGTCTCCATCTTCTGGTGTGGGCATTTTTCAAAAAAGTGAAACTGGCTGAAGGGAGGTCTAGTCAATGAAACTACTGCTCACTTAGTTTGCAACCAAAAGTGTTTTGCATGGAGGTCCTCGTTGCACAGGGTTTCCGCGTCATTTTGATAATTAATTAAGATCTCTTGCCAACATAATGAAACAGTCGCTCACAAATGCTCATGTTGAGGCTAACTTTAAGGCTGAAAACCCATCTATTAACTGGTCGAACAAAAAGTTGGTGCGCGCATTGTGCATGCAAATCTCTTTTTATCTGAATAATGACTAGCAAATTCCTTCCAACACAATTGTTTTTTGTATAATGTTTTGGTGGCATTAACTGGTCAGGTTATTCCACATATAGAGCCTGCTTTATGGACCTATAATATCGGAATAGTTAAGTTCACACCCTTCCTTTGATCCGTGCATACACACCCAAACAGTGTAAACTAATCACTTGCTACAATATCGTAAACACATTTAATATTTTGATTTCTAAACTGAACAGTTCTGCAGTCTCGACCATATCCCAGACTCCACTGCATGGATTTCCTTCACTTCACTTCACCAATCACATACTCACGATGGACGCCAAGCAAACAGCTATCAAGATCAATTACAAGGGCGATGTGCACAGTCTACACGTAGACCTCACGTCGTTCTTGCTCAAGGCCCTGAAGGCGCTCTTTCCCGAGACGTAAAACTTTGCGCCGGCAGCTTTGTGGTATAGTACGCGGACGTGGGGGGGCGACTCCATTAACATTACGTCGCAGGCCGATTAAAAGGAGGCGTTGCGTGCTGTAGTTAGCTGCGGCCAGCGCCACGTCCGTACACTTGAAGTCTTGAGCGGTTTGGCCATCGCGTTCCAAGCGAATGTGGCGGCGCCGATCCTCATTTCCATTAAGAAGCATGTGGAGATTATAAATGTAGCCATGAGTATGGTCATGCACTAGGAGTGGGCTGACAAGGCGCAGCGGACGGCGCAGACGAGGCTGTACCAGACGTACGAGTCACTCAAGAAGGTTGTCTAGGAAGCCCAAGAAGCGTTGCAGCCAGCGCGCATGAACGTTCTGGATCTGCGGTTTCTCTAGCTAATGAAGGAGACGACAGAGCTTCTGTAGTGTGCGGCCGAGGACATTGGCGAGTTTTCCGAGGAGGTGTGATCGTGATTAAAAATATAGCACCGGTCCAGGCGGAAGTAACGCCTACTATAGAGACATCACGGCAGCCAACGGACACTGTGTTTGTTGAGGATGCGAATGAAGCAACGGTGGTGACTGCAAGCGACAGTGAGTGGGAGCAGGTGACAGAGCAAGACCGGAGGTCGGGTCCGGTGGAAAAGGCAAATGTGGTTGTCGATCCTGTGGTAGCTGGAACGGTTGTGGTTGCTGTTCCGGTCTTTGCTGTGCCGGTCGTTGCGGAGTTAGTGGTTGCTGATCCGCCGGCCTCCGAAGGCGGTGCAAGCATAGTATATGGGTTCTTTTATAGTTCAACAGCGCAATATGCTGGTCACACCCTTCTCCTGATCAAATGTCATAATGCTGTTCAATTAAGTAAGACAGATTTATGTATTTGCGTTACAACTTGTGTAAAATGATAAATACACAAATGAAGAGTTTACACAATCCGGTGGATGTGTACCAGAGCTTTACAATGAGCACCCACGCCTATGAGTATGGGTGGCCAATAGGTGTGTTGGATATTTCAGATGTCAGATTTTGTAGGCGTTATAAAGTGGCTGGTAGCATGGGTGGAAACTGGGCAGGGGGGAATATTCAAAACGAGAGAGGAGGGACACCCAAATGGGTTGCTGTAGCGGAGCTACTTAGCGCTCCTTAACAGAGGAAGTCTTAGACTCAAAGAGTCTCTTAGTGAAAAAAACAAACAATGATGTGCGGTCGTTCAAGCGAACAAGATTGACAATCCCGGTTCCAAAGGGATTACGATTTAAAGAATCACACACTAACTAGTCACTACTAGTTAAACGAGAGTAAGCGCATTCACAAGGTCAATGCTCTTAATAACGCACTATGCCTTGGCCAGGCACTTGTGTCCAAAAGGGAAGCTGGACTTTATTTATCCTTTAACTACGGCAATAAAACTCTAAAGCCTCGTCTGAATGCTTTCTACATTGCGATCCTATGACAGAAGTCTTATCCCTTATCTCTTGCCGATAAGGTGCAGTATTACCGTAAGTACGTGGTACCGATACTGTACCACTGGGATCCACCGATTTTTACTTGGTGTGGACACACAACATGACCTGACCGGATCAATGACTGCCGTGTAATCCCCTTACACCCTCCCCCACCAAAATGTCGACACCTTTGTGTGGACAATTCTTCCACTGCTCTTTAAGGTCTCAAAGCTCAGGTCCTTGACCACGTGTTCACAGCACATCTCAAAATAGCTGCGTCAAATACTTCGTCCAACACCCTTGACGAATTCCTTGAAGATGGTATGGTGGACTATTGAGAGTGACACCGTCGCGTCGAGTGTCCACGACCACACTCCAGCTACGCCACTGGCGCGTGACACCTCGCGCGTCGCGCCTTATCTTCGTGGAACGCGAAAAGATACATTCACCCCTTACACAGGGGTGCAGCCGTCGACCCTGCGTTCGGTCTAATGAACAACAGACTTGATGAAAACCAAGCTCAATATCTTCAGTCGGTTGATGACCGCAGCGTCAAGCACAATGTGTAGCCACAGCGTATGCTCACAGTGGCTACCGTTCACACAACCGAGTGTGGATGAACGCATTCGTCGGACTGCCGGGCAGTCACTTGCAACATGGGTCGCGGGACCCAAGGCTGCCACATCCACCGCACTATCATAGAGGGAGTCTCTCGGAGTGAGATACTTGAGGGTCGAATGTATGACCGTTCAAGATGATCTCGACAGGCTGAATCTGCAAGCACGAGGTGCGTCAGTTTGCGCCGTGCGGATAGTACCCGTCGTTATCTTCCCTAGTGATACGGAGACGGAAAAAGATGTCGTCTTCACGCGTTGGAATCACAAAGCTTGTTATCTGCCAAGCTAGTGGGATGTTCAAGAGAGCGCTTCTCTTGCTGACGTTAGGCTCAAACGAAATAAGCGCTTTCATTTTACAAAACAAAAGGCCAAAGGCCAACTGTGATCGTTCTATCGCACCCTCTATGCTACTTCGGCTACAGATCCGCACATCAGTGCACCTGCTACATCTGCAGCCCCTCCACTCTCGCACCGACTAGTGTGAAGCGCTTTGGGTCGACTGACCCTAAAGTCGACGTTCTAAAAAGGTAACGGCATACGGAAAATCCTGCCGCAGTGGCACTTCGTACTCCCATGAGTTCTCCGACTCTGGGTAACCCAGCCACTGTACCAAGTACTGGTACTGACCGTCGCGACAAAGCCGCTACAGGATTCGCTTATCATGAAAATGTTGATCTCCTTGCTCGTCAACGAGAGCAGGTGGTGGTTGTTGAATCTAGACGCGTCGTCGACGAGTTAGTGCACGATGTGCATGGTCTTAGTGACCGAGTGGGGCGTCTTGGAGGACAAATAGATATTATCTTGAGGGCTCCCCGACTTGTGGAATTACCAACTCTTTCGACGCAAGCGCCTCGTGATCCACCAGCGACCGATAAAGATAAGGCTTAAGCAAGCCAACGTAAAACACTGGGTGTGTTCGTATCTTGCGTGGAACGTTAAGCGTATACGCTGGGCCCTTCTTGGCCACAACCGTAAACGTTACAACGAAGCAAGGACGCAACTTGGTCCTATAGACCGCTGAAATTACCATGGTAGGTAGATTGTTAACGATAAGTAAGACTAAGTCTCCAACTTTATAACTCTCAATACAATTTCTGCCTTTGGTATCAGCTTGTTCCTTTTGTTTGCAATATATACTCGCCATTGCGTCACCTACATGCCGTAAGACATTCAATCGCGTGACGAGAAACTCGCTCGCCTGTTTATCGTTTATGAAACGCGTGGGTGAGTGAGACCATTCACGTGTAATGAAGTAAATCTTGTGGAGGCATGAACAGCGTTGTTCAACGCAAACTCGACCACAGTGGGAATAGAGCTCCTACGCCGTGGCGTATAAGTGCAAATACTGCGCAAAATGTCATTAATGATGCGATTAACACGCTCAGTTTGACCACCGGTCAGCGGATGATCCGCCGTGGACATATCCAATCGGGTGCCGAGCACCTTGAAGATATACTTCCAAAATTTCCCAGTGAAGCGAGGATATCTATCAAAGACAATTGCCACAGGCAAACCATGTTGTCAAAAACACGATCGATAAACAGCTTTGCCGTGCCGTCAGCATCGATCGTATCCTGCACAGCCGCTAAATGAGCCATCTTACTCAAACGGTCAACAAAGACCAAAATACCAGTGCTGCCTTCCGAATACTTCGGTAGTCCGAGCACAAAATCCCTACTCATAAACTTCCAACACCCAGTGTGTACAGGCAGACTAGCCAGCGGTGACGCCGCATGTGCTAAGAATTTGACCCGTCGAAACATTTCTCACGTGCGCACATAGGTTCTCACCCATTTGTACATCTTGGCCACCAATAAGCCTGGCTCACCGAGTCATAGGTCTTCTCACGGCGGAGATGACCGCTCAAAGAAGTGTCATGCACCTCAAAGAGGATGCAATACTTCAAGTCCTCATCGTTAGGAACTACGATGCGAGGCACATTCTAAACAACTGTGCAATCGCACAACAAACCGCCATCGATGACATATAGATGTAGGCTCGCACGTAAGCCTGCCGACAATTTGATGATCGAGGCTTTAAACTCCTCGCTCCCAAAAGCACGTAGCAATGCTACACGTTGCTCATCACGTGCAAGTGCCGCATGAATTAGATCCACAATGAATGACGACAGAGTCGTAAAATGGGCAAGCTCAAAATTAGGTCTGCGTGACAGCGCATCAGCTAAAGTATATTGCTTACCCGACTTTTACTTCACCTCGAAGTTGTGTGCGACTTATGCTTCACCTCGAAGTTGTGTTCGGCAAAAATGAAAGCCAACGGGTTGTACGCTGTGATAGGTGAGGCGACTGTGTCGCAGTGCGTAATGACGCGTGATCTGTGAAGATCACAAAAGGCTTTGATCCAAGTAGACGTACTCTAAATTTAACAAGAGCACACATCATTGCAAGTAACTCGTTGTCGTGAACTAGATAGTTCTTCTCAGCAGCATTTAGCTAAAGAGGTTCATACGCAATGACGCGTTCATGTCCATCGACATCTGTCTACAATAAAGCGCAAAGAATAGCAAAATTAAATGCGTCACAAAAGACACTGAAAGGCCACTCAGAGTCAGGTAAAGCAAAAATTGGGGCATGTAGGAGACTTTCTTTTATAGCTTCAAAAGCTTGAGTATGGACTGCTTCCCAACACCAAGCTGCATGCTTATTGAGAAGTTTATTTTAAGGCATTGCCATGTCAGCGTAGTTTGCACTGTATTTGTGCAAGTAATAAGCAAGGCCAAGCCATTTAAGCAAGTCCTTCTAATTAGACAGGACCGACCAGTCAACAATGACTTTACCTTAGCGGGGTCCGCTCGAAGGCCACGCATTTCAATGAATCACCCGAGAAAGTATATTTCTTCTGCACCAAAAATGCATTCCGATGCATTTACATACAGCTTGTTTGTACGCATGCACTCGGGCACTTCTCGTTAATGACCAATGTGATTGTTCATATCTGACCTAGCATGATCTGCACGGCTCTGGACAAAGATTTCATCGAAATAGCTTTGTGCATATTCTCGGTGAGGTCGAAAAAATTGCGTCACAAGACGATTAAAAGTAGCCGGGGCATCAGAAAGCCCTTGAGGCATAACAAGCCACTCCTAAAGCATAACGCTAGGAGTACTAGTCGCTGTGAGCGGAATACTACTTGCTCGCATGAGCAGCTGGTAATATCCATCGACTAAGTCGAGTGCACTGAACATGGTACAATCTACCATAGCGTTCTGAAGAACATACTTCCTAGGAGTAGACATCTGTGCTGGTATAGTGGCTGCATTAAGCTTATTATAAGCATGCACAATGCGCCACTTACCATTTGGATCACTAGCACAAAATGTCGGTGTCGAGTGCGGAGACAAGCTCTCACGTATTATTCGAGCCGCGTGCTTTGCACGAAAGAACTCGTCAATGAGATCACACTGCTCCTTTGGTAGGGGCCATTGCCATGTCACACAGCATTTGGTTCCAGGAACAAGGTCAACTTCATGACGTACCTTTCGAACAAGAGGCAGAGTGGAAGGTGGATCGTGACAAACCACATCCTGAAACTCCTTAAGCAAAGGATAAAACGGGTCTTTAGGATCTTCCAAGATCGATGGCCCACTTCGAGCACTCAGTGCCGCCTTTGTGTCTTTCAAGACAGCTTCGTCAATATGTGACGACGAGTTCAACTGACTATCGGATCTGATGACCACCACTTCAGACAAGTCATCCGACTTTAAAGTCAGGCCAAAATCATAGACAGACATTTCGTCTAGCTCTAACAGAGAATGTAGTGACGGTAGAGTCTCAAGACTCACTGACCCATTTACGTCACCGGTCACTCCATTAACAAATGTATATACCTGCTCGCTATAATCACTCAGTGACGCAACAGACGTCTTGCGTTTTGTAGCATCAATTTGTTGTCTCTGTCGTCTCTGCGAAGACTAAACGTCTCGAAGAGACTGGAACTATCTCGTTCCCAAGGTTGATGTCATCATCATCCTTAACTTGCTCTGTACAAAGATTCGGTGTCATTAACGACACCCGAGACATTGATTTTTTCAATATTAACATGCTTATCAACCTTAAGTTGCTCATTAACAGAGCCGATGTCATTATCGACATCCGGGATTATACCTCCCCCAGGGTCATGAAGTAGGTCAAGCTTAATTTGATCTATGTCAAATCCGATGTCATTACCGACATCTGGTGATGAGCCACTTCTAGTGATATCATTACCCAGTGGGTACTTACGTGCCACTCCACGCTCATCAAATGGGCCACGCCCTTGATGACTTGGGGTTTTACCAACAACGTCTTGGATAAAATTCAGTGTGTCTCGATCACGGTCAACAACACTCAGTGGGTACTTACGTGTTACTCCACGCTCACCAGATGGGTTCAATTCATAACGACTTGGCTCTAGGCCAACAATGACTTCATCATTCAGTGGTTTGTATCACAACGATCATCACTCGACGGAGTACGTGCCGCCCCACTAACAGTCAGAGAGCTATGCTCGTAACTAACATTTTAGACATCGTCAAACTCAATGAGTTCAGACACACCGATGTCCAGCACACTAACTGTATCATTCCGTGTCTCGCGCCAATAATGCTTTTATTTCCTAGCAGAGGCAGGATCAGGTCTCTCCTGTAATGGGGCAACCCATTATATTAAGTAGTCATAGTTTTATTACATAATTACATACATTAAGTGTAGGCAGTATCCGGATAGCGGATACTGCGCGTCTATTTGTTATTGGTTTATTATTGGGGTGCCAGACCCAATAATTAGCCAATAATAATTAGTTCTGTATTTGAGTGGTTCCCATGAGCTAGGGAACATATTCGCACTTACTGCGAATTATAAAAACACAAAAATACAAACAGAGTTAAATTTACCTTATAAATCACAGCGCTTCCTCAGCTTAATTATTAGTGTAAGACGGTAACGGGCTCTCACCCCGTTACACCTGGTAGCACTTGTTGGTCCTTCCCATGACCAAGTTCGAGATGGATATGAGTGAATCTTCGATGGCTCCAGCAGTTTCGCTGGAGCATGCAGATTTTCCCCATCTCACTACGGTAGAATGGCAGGCATTACACCGCCTCGCGGCGGTGTCTGGTGAAATCTTCGTGACGTCGCTGCTGAGCACAGCGACGCCCGAACAACACCGTGCCGCCATTCAAGACTACATGGTGCGCGAGCTCGCCGAAGCGAACCGGCGAGTACATACTCCCTCGCGCCCCTCCCATTACGATGCAATTAAAATGGAGACGTCGACATACTCTGGTGATGGTCCAGATCGTCTCCCCCTTAATCGCTGGTTTAGGGAGATCGACATCGCCATAGCGTCAAGGTTGATTGATGCTCCGACGGCCAAGGTTAATTTCCTACTGTCTCGGCTTGTTGGTAAAGCCAAAGAATGGGCTCTTGGGAAGCTCGTTGTAAACGAGTTGGCATTCCCCACGCTGGACGATATCCAGCGCGACTTACGACTGGCGTTCGAGCCCCCTCAAGATGAGTCACGCTTGCGCGCAGATTTCTTTTCACTTCGACAGGGCAAGCTGTCGATGCGTGATTACGTACAGAAGACGCGACATCTTGCTTCGTGTATCATCACGAAGCCGGTCGACATGGCGTCTCAAGTTCATGTCTTTGTCTTTGGTATGCAAGAGGGCATGACCCGCTATTGCCTCACACGTGCTGAACCTAAGACTCTTGAGGAGGCATTTGCCCTCGCGCTTCGTGAAGATTACACGGTCGCATCGTCATATTTGCAGGCAGCGTCGCAACGCCCGCGTACGTCTGGCCCAGAGCCTATGGAAATTGACGTTATCGATGCATCTCGTGGTCGCGGCAAGCAATTTGGCCGCGGCATTCGAAGTCAAAACACGATGAAGTGTTATCGGTGCGGCAAGACTGGCCATCGTGCGGCCGTCTGCCGAGCACCAGCGCCGGTGTCCATGAACACAGCTGTCTCACGTGGAGATACTGTGTCGTCCGCGGTCCCGCCAAGAAATGAGCAGTTCCAGTAGGTGCGGGGCGCCCTACTGGCAGTAATGGAGCCCCGAGTACTCAGGTGGCAGCTCGGGCTCCTAGCCCTAAAGTGATACATACCCACTTCAATGCCACCACTATGCGCGACGATTCGAGACTGATAATTATCAGTCTCATCGTTGCTGGAGTGAAACGACCACTCCGAGCGTTGTTGGATTCGGGTGCATCCAACAACTTCTTTCGAGCATCATGTTTGTCCCTTCTCCCGTCGACAGTTACGGTTCGAGAAGGTCCAGGTGACATCGTTGTCAAACTTGCTGATGGACAACCACAGCGTGTCCCGCGTAAAACAGTGGTTTTGCCGTACACGTTCGACGGCTTCCAAAGTAATGACGAATTTTTGGTGTACGAGATGAATTATGCATTCGATTGCATCTTGGGGATACCGTGGCTGTCACGGTATCAGCCGACGATAGACTGGCTATCTCGGTCCGTCAAACGACGAAGCGGTTACGACGTAAGTGAAGTTTTCACTCATCTGTTGGTAGCGCCATCCGATTGGCCTCACGTCAGGGTCGTGGACGAACTCACCACGACTAGAAGTCATCTCAGAAAAAACGATGGCCCTCTGTGTCCGGTATATCCAGTCGCATAGAACCACAAGACGAGGCGGTCGTACAGAGTCTCCCGCATACACAGACATCGGTCGAGCAGGGGCTCCCGATTCACAACGAGACGGTCGAACAGAGGTTCCCGCACACACAGACATCGGTCGAGCAGGGGCTCCCGATTCACAACGAGGCGGTCGAACAGGGGTTCCCGCACACACGGACATCGGTCAAGCAGGGGCTCCCGATTCACAACGAGGCGGTCGAACAGGGGTTCCCGCACACACGGACATCGGTCGAGCAGGGGCTCCCGATTCACAACGAGGCGGTCGAACAGGGGTTCCCGCACACACGGACTTCGGTCGAGCAGGGGTTCCCGAATTCTAGCGAGGCGGTCGAGCAGGGGCTCCCGCATACACACACAACGGCCGAGCAGAGGCTCCCGATTGTAACCGAGGTGGTCGAGCAGAGGCTCCCACATACATCTGAGGCGGTCGACGACGAGCTCCCGCCTCTTATCGACGAGAATGAACGGGCTGTGGACTTAAATGTGAACGACGTGGTGGAGACAGAGCTCCCACGTCTAGCGGGGGGTACTTCATCCTCCAGCGACAGCGACGTTCCAGCCTCGAGCAGTGGCTCAAGACGCAAGAGAAAGCGTAAACGCAAGAAAGGTGCACGCCGATCACCAAGACGACGAAATTCTCGCTCAAGCGCCGTTGACGATGATACTGTATTGACGGAATCCGTTTGTGCGCTTGAATATGTGGAAGGGTCTTCACATCGTGGCCGCTACGTTGAGGTAGCGAGCCCTCCGTGCACTGTTGCAGAGATCACATCTCTATTAACCCTACCATGGAAAGATTTCCTTCACGACCTCAAGGCCGGCGACATCGAGCAAGTGTACATCATATCAGCCGCCGAAGCAGCTAGTGGAGAAGTTCTGGAGGCTCGCCCAAAGAGCGCTGAGCCCAAATCAGCGCGCGAAGAACGTTTCGTGGCACAGTCTTGGGAAGCCCTTCGTGCTTCGGGCAACCCTGTCTATGATATCGCGCGTGAGTATGCCGACATCTTTCCGGAGAATATCCCCGCTGAGCTTCCAGCGGATCGTGGTGTGCGACACGAGATCGATCTCGTGCCAGGATCGAAGTATTGCGTGACGCGGCAGTGGCCGCTACCGCGTGACCAAGTCATCGCAATTGATGAATTTTTTTAGGGCCGCCGTAAGGCAGGACACGTCCGCGAAAGCATATCGCCACATTCGAGTCCGACTTTCTGTGTGAAGAAAGCCACCGGCGGTTGGCGCATCGTGCATGCTTTTAACAAGTTGAATGACGCCACGATCCCGGCTCAAACACCAATTCCTCGGAAAGACATGGTACTGGATACCATGTCCGGCAGCGAGATTTTTAGCGCCATAGACCTGACAGACGGGTTTTACCAGATTTTAATGAGGGACAGTGATATCCCGTTCACCGCTGTCAGCACACCGAGTGGGATGCTTTGGGAGTGGCTAGTCATGCCACAAGGCCTTAAGAACGCTCCAGCAACGTTCAACCAGATGGTGACACAAGTGCTTCGGCCACTACGTGATTTCGCTCCAAGTTATTTCGACGATAATTTTGTTCACAGCCGCGCTGAGCAACAACTCAGCGCTACGGAGGTCCACCTTCTGCATTTGAAACAGGTGTTCCAAGTGATGCGCGAGAACAAACTGTACGCAAATTTGAAGAAGTGTGTCTTCTGTGCTCCCGAGATTCCAGTTCTTCGATGCTATGTTAGCAAGGAGGGTGTCCGTGCTGATCCCGAGAAAGTGTCATCGATATGTTCCTGGTCTACGCCCAGGAACCAAACGGAACTACGCCAATGGCTTGGCTTGGCCAATTACTTGCATAAGTATACGAAGAACTATGCAGAACTAATCCAGCCACTATCGACTCTACTGAAGAAAGACGCAGTTTGGTCATGGAAAGCTGAACATCACTCTGCCTTCAACTCTGTGGAAAAGAGCTTGTCTGAAGCACCAGTGCTGATGTTGCCTGATGATTCCAAGCCATTTCACGTCGTCTGTGATGCGAGTGATTTCGCTATTGGATGTGCCCTCATGCAGTTTGACGATGAGGGCCGAGAGCGCGTCGTGAGCTTTCAGTCACGACAGATGAAACCCGCAGAGAGGAACTATCCGGTACATGACGAGGAACTTTTGGCTATGCGTTACGCGCTGATCAAGTTCAGAGTATATTTGCTCGGCGAGAAGATGTTTTCGGTCTATACAGATCACGCATCATTGCGTACCGCCGTCAAGACTCCCCACTTGTCCCAGCGTATGGCACGTTGGTTGTCATACTTCTCAGAGTATAATTTCGTGGTCTTTTACAAACCCGGCAAGAACAACATTCTTGCTGACGCGCTTTCTCGACGTCCCGATTATGATCCTCGACGTGACATGGGTCATCAGCCAGGCATTGCTGAAGACGAGGACGACGACATTTGTTTATGCTGTGCTGATCAGGGGCTCAATGCAATGATTTCGACACCTGAGCTGTCAATCCGGACTCAAATCGCTGAGTCATATGCGAACGATTCATTCTACACGGGAATCATCAATTATCTTCGACATCCTAGTGAGGGTTCACTCGCGAAGTTGACGAAACCAACGCGTGACAACATCAAGCGGTACGCGCTTGATGGTCCGCTGCTGACTTATACAATGAACGTTTTCGACCCACCGCGCGTCGTCATCCCTGCTGATGACGACCTCCGCGCACGATTGGTGCATGAATTTCATGACACTCCAACTGGTGGTCATTTGGGTCGCGAGAAGACGTTCGCGGCCATCTCTCGTGTGTTTTTCTGGCCGCGTATGTACATATACATCCAGAAATGGGTACGCTCTTGTGAAATATGCCAGCGTGTGAAGCCTGCGCCGTCTTCACAAGCTCCATTGCGTCCGCTTCCGATTGCCATCGAAGCCTGGCGTTCGGTCAGCATGGATTTCATCTTTGGTCTCCCTCCGGACGAACAGAAACGCACGGGCGTATTGGTTTTTGTGGATCGATTTAGCAAAATGGTGCATTTTGCTCCAGTCTCCGCGCACGTTACGGCGGAGACGACCGCGCAGATCTTCATCGATCTCATATTTCGACATCACGGCTTGCCTGAATCAATTGTTTCGGACCGCGACCCGCGCTTTACATCAGCTTTTTGGGCAACGTTGTTTCAACTATTGGGCACGCGACTGCTTATGTCTACGGCAGCCCATCCAGAGACGGATGGGCAAACGGAGCGCGTGAATAGAGTGCTTGAAGATGTACTACGCAGTTATGCGACATCGTTCCAGTCGTGGAGTTCGTTTCTCCCTCTCGCTGAATTTGCAATCAACAACGCAGTTCATGCGTCGACTGGGTTAACGCCATTTTTCGTGAATAACGCGAGGCACCCTCGCGTTCCAGCGCTTCTTGCTCTTTCAGCTTCAGCACAACCAGTTTCTCAGCTTGGTGGGGGAGTATCTCCCGATGACACTACGCGAAAAATTTTGATGATTGGTAATGTTGAAGACAAGGTTGCTGCCGATGCAACTCATACTGTTAATTTTGTGGCCAATGGCATATCGAGTCCCGACGCGATGCATCCCATCGCGTCTCCCGTCGCTAATTTTGCTCCTAAAGAGTCCACTTCTCCTGTAAGTTCGGCTGCTGTGACCGAATTCCTATTACTACGGCAAAGTATCACGCGTTTTGTACGCGATGCACTCCAAGAAGCAGTGGATAAACAAATTGGAGAACGCGGACAAGCGAGGTCGAAAGAACTTGCTGACGTTCAAAGAAGGTGACAGAGTCTTACTATCGACAAGCGGATTACCAGATACGTCAGTAACGAATTTGGGCGCTAATAAATTAGCGCCAAGATATATTGGGCCCTTTCGGATTGTTGAAGTCCATGGAGATGCTTACACGCTAGACATACCTACCACTATGCGTTTGCACCCGACATTCTATGTCGGGCGCCTTAAGGCTTACCTGCCGGCGGATCTCCCTTTGGTCCTTCCTCACTCGTCTGTATCGGCTCAAAGTCCGACACCCCCTGCCGACGACGCTAAAGACGACTGGGACCAAGTCCTAGACGAGCGCGAGCAGACTCGTTCTGCTGGGGTCCACCGAACGCAGCAGTCTCGAGCTGTCGCAGACGCTCCACCAAGCCCTGCTGCTCCCGTCGGGTTCTCTCGGCAGCCTCTGTCGCAGCTGCTGCACGATCTCGAGCCCTCTCGGCCATCTCACGGGCATCCAGAAGGCCGTTCATCGCCTCTTCAGTGTCAGCACGAAGGAAACGAAGCTCGTCACTCGACGGCACAGGCGCCCGATTATGAGAATCGGCGCCCAACCCAAGAAGCCTTCCGTCGTGATGCTCCTCCTCCCTTGGTAGATGCATCGGGTGAGCGACGCTGGATTGTGGACCGTATCGTCGGTCATGAAGACCCCACGCCTCTTGCGCCGAGTAGTGGCTCGGCGCCATCGAAGAGTCGTTCAGAAACGCATTACAAGGTCCGATGGTTGGGTTATTCACCAACGGAAGACACGTGGGAGCCTCGAAGTATGCTGGCTCACGATGTTCCTGACGTCGTTGAGGAGTACGAGACCAGTAAGAGGTCGGCGAACGCGACCGACGCTGCTGACGCCTTCCACGATCCCGCGAACCGTAACGTGCGTGAATTGGCGATCGACGACGATCTCCCGAGCGACTCCGACGTCTTCTACGAGGCTCGGGAGCATTTGGATACCTTGACGGTCGTGAACGCCTCCATTGATCGACAGGGCGTTCCCTCATGTGACGCAACGCAGATACTTGGAGCTCTGAGAGGCTCCTCTCATAGCGTCCGATCCATGGTCGGATGTGCTGGGGCATTCCCCGTGCACACACCATGTCGTCCCATTCCTGCCGCATTGGTCGCGGTCTCTCCATGTGACACCGTGGACACCCTTCACGGACATGGACGTAACACATGTGGAACCCATCACGAGTCAAATGACATACGCGTCGTCGTAAGTCGCCAATAGCGTGGTCGCCATGAGTACTTTCGCGTCCCTCGATCCAGGACGTGAAGGATGCCCCTTCACGTCGACTCGCGTTCCAACGTCTGATGAAGGCACACCAAGATCGTTGCAGTGCGTCTTCAGTATATGTGTGATTCGTTCCCTTGCCTCGAACGTTACGGTATCGTGTGAAGAGATTCTTCATGGTCTCAAGTGATTCAGGTTGGTGCGCGCCTTCAAGGCTGTACAAGCCCCACATCTTCAAGTCGTCATCCATGGTCTGCGGTGCACGCTCTCTTCGAAGTGTCTGATGACCCCAACTGTCGTTTGGGGTCGAGTCGCGTGGGTGTTCAGGATTCATGCTGCTCAGTTGCTTGTGGCTGAGCAGATTCGAAGACCAAGATGACGTGTCGTTGGAGTTCTCGTTGGGCTTTTCGTTGGACTATTCGTTAAGAAGAAACTTTCTGTGTATGGCGCTTACGTCACGGTAAGCGCAACTTAAAGAGGGGGGTGATGTAATGGGGCAACCCATTATATTAAGTAGTCATAGTTTTATTACATAATTACATACATTAAGTGTAGGCAGTATCCGGATAGCGGATACTGCGCGTCTTTTTATTATTGGTTTATTATTGGGGTGCCAGACCCAATAATTAGCCAATAATAATTAGTTCTGTATTTGAGTGGTTCCCATGAGCTAGGGAACATATTCGCACTTACTGCGAATTATAAAAACACAAAAATACAAACAGAGTTAAATTTACCTTATAAATCACAGCGCTTCCTCAGCTTAATTATTAGTGTAAGACGGTAACGGGCTCTCACCCCGTTACATCTCCAAAGCTCCACTCAGAACAGTGCGCGTTGCGCCTAAAGTCTTCGACCTCCAATCTATCCATGGCTCGTGGCGTTCTAGGCAAGCCATACCAAGGATGAGATCACATCACTCATTCAAGTCAAGGACTAGATAGCGTTTGATACTGTCAAATTTCGACAACTTAACGCCTGAGTTCACAGTAACTTAAGGCATAGTGAACAATGCACATGTCGCCAAGCGAACAGTGATCATCTCATTTTATCGCGCATTCAGCGCCTTAGCACACTGCTGACTTCCTTCCAGGGAAAAACGTCGACCCTAATTTCCCGACACTCCGGAATCGATCAATATCGACCATGGATTATCAAAGCCATTCACCGTTGCTTTTGCAACTAACAAGCCTGACTGGTACTCTTGCTTTGTGAAATTGATCACGAAGTCATTTGGGACTAGGCCCTGGTGTACATCACCTCCCAGAGGTAAAACAGAGCCTGAGTCCTCCCCAGCAGGACGCCCCGCGCCTAGTGGGACTCGACGTTTTCCCACGCCTTACCAACTCGTTGGTTAGCGACGGGAGGTCGGCTCGAATGATCCTGTATGGTCCTTCTCAAAGGACAATTGAGGCAAAAATGTTTGATGTCTCCGCACGTATAACATCCACGGATGTTCGAACGCTGCTCGACAGCGTAAAAATCAGCTTTTTCGTCTCTCTAAGCGATACTAAGTTTCATGGGTTCTACCCTATCCATGAGATGAGCTATACTTGACGAGTTTGATTGGAACCCATGAGTCCCATAACGGGCAGATTAAAAGTTGAACGCTGCGTTCAACTCTATGTCCACGACACCCTCAAATGTCGATGGTTGAGCACGGAACACTTCTGTTCTGGCAACGCCAGTGCGAAGAACCTCCATGAAACTGGAACCAAAATCGTCTCAGGTAAAGGGTCAAGTTGCATTGCAGCAATTAGAGTTCATAACTCCTGGACATATCCGGCTGAGTCCTTTTTACCCTGGCGGGTTGACAGGAAGCGTGGTCGCACGCGATTTCCCTAATTAGGTGGGGCAAACACCCGAGACAGATGCTGTTTAGCATACCCCAGGTGGGATAAGCCTTGTGTGTTGAAGTACAAGAAGTGAAGGCTCACTCCCTGGAACGCCACCTAACTCGATAGGGCCAGGCCCACCTTTTGCTGCTCTGACTGCAGCAAGGTCAAGCTGATGGCAACCTCCATCTCTCGAACCCACAAAAGGAGATTTCTCCCTGTTTCCTCTCAAAAGTCTTGACACTTACGATTAGAGGGCGAGTCCCTTGACTCAGTGTCCGGTATTGGAACATACCAAATAGGCATGGCAGATTTCAAATGGCCACGTACCTGTACGATCAACGTGGACTCATAGTTCGAAAAGGACTCGAGAGGTACAGGAAATACGTCTGGCTTTGAGCCATCATAAGATCCACTTGCTCGTTACGGAACAACGCCTTAAGCTCCTAAGGCGTGATCTGCTGGGCCTCAAAGAAGTTCATGGCCGTTTTCGACCCTCGCAGAGGATTCAGTCTGTGAAGACTTATGTGTAAATTGACTACGAATGCTACCAAGTGTAGCGTAGCTACTTAGCGCTCCTTAACAGAGGAAGTCTTAGACTCAAAGAGTCTCTTAGTGAAAAAAACAAACAATGACGTGCGGTCGTTCAAGCGAACAAGATTGACAATCCCGGTTCCAAAGGGATTACGATTTAAAGAATCACACACTGACTAGTCACTACTAGTTAAACGAGAGTAAGCACCTTCACAAGGTCAATGCTCTTAACAACGCACTATGCCTTGGCCAGGCACTTGTGTCCAAAAGGGAAGCTGGACTTTATTTATCATTTAACTACGGCAATAAAACCCTAAAGCCTCGTCTGAATGCTTTCTACATTGCGATCCTATGACAGAAGTCTTATCCCTTATCTCTTGCCGATAAGGTGCAGTATTACCGTAAGTACGTGGTACCGATACTGTACCACTGGGATCCACCGATTTTTACTTGGTGTGGACACACAACATGACCTGACCGGATCAATGACCGCCGTGTAACCCCGTTGCAGTAGGCGTCGGCTCTATTGAGCGCAGGATGCGTATTGTGTAGTCTTGTTCAGGCGCGTCCGCGTCAATTTCCTTCTTCGCCTCCCCAGTGTGTCATTAGCAAGCTCACGTGGAGCCGCAACAGCGGTCACTGTTGCACAGTTGTAGGTAAATCTATTCAAACCAGATTAGAAAGAGTTTGTGGAAAAGATGATTCGCAGAGGACAGTGGAGACACAGGTCGATAGGGGTAAAGATGTAAAACTATAAATTAGTCAACTATGTAGCATTATATCAACTGAGGGGATTTTACCAGAAAGTGAAGGGGAGATTAACGGCTCCCTTCTTATTTAATCCAGCCAATTTGTTCCGACCTATGCAACTTCATACCGATTCGCGCTGATACCTTTTCTTCCAGTCGACTGATAGCCAGCCATCACCATCACCACCATTGCACCACAAGAAGCTGCTTATGCTACGCTACACGTCACCAGCGCTAGTGCGACAGCATCTCCGTTGTATACAATACAGAAGCTCTTCGATCACTCGTGTCTTGACGAGGGGAGAGGGCTGCAAGTCCCTACAGGTCGGCGAGTCGTACCACAACTTTACACTTGAGCGGGTTGCTACTGTGCCAGAGTATGGCATAGACGCCCTAGAGCTGCGTCATGAGCCCACGAAGGCGAAATACCTGCATATTGATGCGAAGGATCCAAACAATGTCTTTGCTGTCATGTTCCGCACACCACCGAGCGACTCGACGGGCGTGGCGCACATTTTGGAGCACACTGTGCTATGTGGTTCTAAGCGCTTCCCTGTGCGTGACCCATTCTTTAACATGATCAAGCGCAGTCTCAACACGTACATGAACGCTCTCACAGGTGCCGATCATACAATGTATCCCTTCTCGACGACTAACGACAAGGACTGGCGCAACTTGTTGAGTGTGTATCTAGATGCAGCCTTTTTCCCCAATTTAAATGAGCTCGACTTTTTACAAGAGGGACATCGACTCGAGATCAGTGAGGGTACGAACAGTGGAGACGGACATCTTGTGTACAAAGGAGTCGTGCTGAATGAGATGAAGGGGGTGTTTTCCGATAGCAACAACCTCTTCGGTACGAGATTGCAGCAGGAACTCATGCGCGGCACCATCTACGAGCATGTGAGCGGAGGTGACCCGAAGCACATTCCGTCGCTGACGTATGAGAATCTATGCGCATTTCACCAGAAACACCATCACCCGTCGAACTGCTGCTTCTACACTTACGGTGACTTGCCACTCACGGATCACTTGGCTTATCTGGATCAAGAGATCTTAAGCAACTTTGTCTACTGCGCTGAATCGGCAGCTATTCAAGTGAGTACGGATGGGTTCAACGTTTACAAGACAAACTCTGCAGAGGCGAAGTTGATTGTAATACAAGGTCCTGCCAGCAATATGAGCAGCGACTCTGCTGATCCCAACACGAAGTTTTGCATGAGCAAGTTTGTCGACGTGAGGTCATCAGACCCTTTTCCGAATTTCGTGCTTCGAATTGCGAGCTATTTGTTGACGAATGGACCGGCTTCTCCATTGTTCAAGGCACTGATTGACTCGAATCTTGCACAAGACTTCTCCGTTGGTACGGGCTTTGACACATCTACCTATTACCCTACGTTTGGTGTCGGTGTGGAGGGCATCGAGGGTGGAAAAGAAGCGATTCCCGTTATTCGCAAGGCTGTGCGTAACGCGTTGGAGAAGGTAGTTGCTGATGGCTTTGAAAAAGAACGAGTCGACGGTTTACTGCACCAATTGGAGCTAAGTCTGAAACATGTAACGGGCAACTTTGGTCTCCAGCTTATGCATGGGGTCAGCTCCATTTGGGCTCATGGAGGGGACATTATTGAAAATCTGCAGCTGAATCCCCTACTGAAGCGCTTGACTGACGAAATGAATCGCGATTCAAAGTATATCGAGACGTATGTGCGAGACTATTTCATGCGCGATGACCTGCGCGAGGTACAAATGCTCATGTTGCCTTCCGAAGATTTTATCCGTGATCAAGAACTCCGCGAGCGTGAGAATCTGGCCGTGACACTTCTTGAGCAGGTCAACACTGACCTAGACCGTATTACTCGGATCACGACGCAGCTTGAGCGTCATCAGCAGAAGGAACAGCCTGTTGAATGCCTGCCTACACTGACCCTGGATGACATTCCGCGTGTCGAAGATCGAAACTTTGACCATATCGATAAGACATACCTTAACTCGACATCGACGGAGTTCGTGCGCGTGCCATCTACCAATGAAGTTTCCTACTTGCGCCTTCTCTTTGATCTGGAAGCGCTGCCCCCGGCATATCACCAATACATTAACGTTTTTACGACGGTATTTGGATCATTGGGTACCACACGATACGCTTACGACGAGTTATCCACGGTAATTGCAAACTGCAGTGGAGGTATATCGTGCTCGGCTATGACGGCACCTTCGCTTGTGGATGCGAAGGTTGAGCCCAGCAAACAAGCACTCTTGATTGGCACAATGTGTTTGCCCCACAAGGTGGACGCGACGCTGAGTCTTTTGCACGAGGTGCTCACTGACACACAGTTTCTAAGTGAAGAAAATTTACGACAACTGCGTCTTATTTTGCAAAGTAGTGCGTCCGCCGCTAGCAGCAGCATTTCGTCATCGGGTTCGGCTCTAGCTGGTATACGCTCACGTGTGGGACTTACTTCTGCAAGTTTATACGACGAGCTGTACGGCGGCTTGACGCAGATTGAGCAGCTCCAGAGCTTGGCACAGTGCTCCGATGATGATCTACGCCAGCTCGCTCGTATACTGCAGGATATCGCAAGGATCGCGTTTTCGTCCGTGAATCTTCGTCTGTCCATTGTAACGGAGGAAAAGCTCCGCTGTCAGATAGAGCAGTCCTTGGTGTCAGAGTTTCTGCAGCCGCTTGCTGGAACGACGTCGCTTGCAGATGTTGCGTCGCTGGCGCTATCGAATGAAGAGCTCAAGCTGCCCATCGTGTCGACCAAAAATTATTTTGCGTTTCCCGTCTCCGTCAACTTTGTGGTGGAAACACAGCCGTCGGTGTCATTTGCACATGACGACCACGTGCCACTCACTGTCTTAGCACAAATGATGTCATCATGCTACCTGCATCAGCAAGTTCGTGAGCAAGGTGGAGCCTACGGATCTGGCGTCTCTCAGAATGAGGGCTCCCTGTCGATGAGCTCTCATTACGACCCGAACACGTTCAAGACGCTCGATGCTTACGCAGGCGCACGCCAGTGGGCTGTCAGCGGAAAGTTTTCTGACCGAGACGTCCAGGAAGCAACTCTTTCGGTATTTGGAAGTATTGACGCGCCCAAGACTCCATCGATGAAGGGCCGGATGAGCTTTTTGCGCGGCATCACCAATGACATGCGCCAACGCCGCCGTGAGAAATACCTTTCCTTGACACGCCAAGAGCTCGTTGACGTTGCGAGCAAATACTTCAACGGGGACACGCCAAATAGACGTACTGTCATCATCGGTAAAGACAGTGACGATCTGCGCGAGTTCTCAGATAAGGGTTTCGATTTGCGGCGGTACACTTCGTTAACCCCTTCCGAGAAGCAATTATGATGCTTACACTAATCAGCCCCAGCGTAGAGCAGAATAGCACGAAGATAAACAACATCTCAAACATAACTGATCATTTGTCGAAGTGTCATCGCTCCGCAACTTTTTTACGTTTACAGTACCAGTGTACGCCAACTCGTAACCGGGAATTGTTTGCTCAGTGCTCACACGCGTTGGTGTCCTCTTCCTCGCCTGAAATCGTACGGCAGATGGGACAGTCGAAGCGAGTGCGGTACCACTCGTTTATGCAATTCTCGTGGAAAAAGTGCCCACAGGGCGACAGCACGAGCCGATTGCCATCCAGTTCGGTCCATTCGCATAGGCAAATGGGGCAAGAGTCTGTGTCGACGTGGACATCACGCGGGTCGACGTACTTGAGCTGCCGAATCGATCGAACGTGCTGCCGCTCGTGATCAAGAGGAAACTGGAGAAACTCTTTGACGAGAAACCGTGTGGATAGGATCTCTCCGCAGACTTCTGCCTGCTGTTCAGCGCCGAGGTACTCACAAAGAGCAACGATGAACTCTTCAAGCCCAGCTGTCCGTCTGCCAACAAGAGCTGAAGGGTCTTTGAACATGACTATGCGACGAGGAAAGCCCACATCCTTGAGCTGATCGCGCACGGCGCCACATACTGAACACCCTTGCTGCTTCTTGTGCGCTGCTAGACGTTCGAGCACCCGTTTTCGTAGGCGATACAACTCCGAATAGCGCTTGCACACAACCCACTTCTGCTTGTAGTAGTCACTCGTAATTTCCAGGTGGTACACGTAGTAGTTGCCCGAAGCCCCACGCACCAGCATGGCCTGGCACCCCATGACCAGCTGCATCATGGACTCCTGATGAATGCGACGGATGAGCACGCGTTTGGCAGCCACGCCCTGATCGGCCACGAGTCCAATGGGCATGTCCTGGAAGCGTTGCTGACCCACGGACTTGGCCGGCAGGCGGTAGTTGCCAGTCTCTGGCTGTGCAGCAAACTGCGGGCCGTAGAAGGAGCGCATGTCGCCCTCCACGCCTTCCACGTCCTCCGAGCCAGCGTACGACACGGCGGCAGGGCGCTGCATCTGCGGCTGCTTGTGCTCCGACCAGCGCACACCGGGACCGGCCTCCTTGGCGTTGGGGCTGCTGCTGAACATGCCGCCGATGCCGTCGTTCGAGCGCGGACTGTCCTCCAGCTCGCTGTCTAGCCACTCGACGTCTTGGTGCATCTGCGCCATCGTTCCCTCGTTAGCTGGTCCAACCCGAAAGCAAGTGTGGCGAACTCGCTCTGGGGCCGGAACGTTGCGATTGGCAAACAGAAGCGAGCAAACGACGTCTCCTTACCGTCGTCGCGTAGAAGAGGCACGTCGCGCGTCGCGAGAGTGGACAACCTGGACACACGATTGGATAAAAAGGTGCGCCACTAACGGCCAAAAGTGCTAAACAGCCACACGGAAAATTGACCACTATGCCGCCAAAAGAATGCTTGACGTGCAAGCCAGGAAACGACACGCACCACCAAAGCGCCGTGGAGAAAACAGGCTGCGAGGACTCGTATATGCGCGTAGACGGTGCGTTGCCAGTGGATGGTGCTGCGTGATGTGGTCAATATCTTCGCTTTAGCCTTGCAAATAGTCTGTTTTTCGATGGACGCCACTCTTTGGACTGACACATGTCTCGAGTTCTTTTGTCAGCCTGTATGAAACGGCACAATGGACGCGTCTCAGCTTGCACGAAGGTAGGCAAATGTTGATTTCTAGTTGCGATGGCAAAGATTGCTAGCTAATCTTGGGCGGAGAGCAGGAGTGGGAGAAGTTCCGCCAGTGCCACGAACAGAACAAGGCAGCGCATAAGAGTGGCGACAAGAAGTGAAGAATCAGTGATGGCGGCCACCTCATTAGTGATGAGTATTGCCGCATCCATCAAATATACGTCTTGTTTTAGGGTCTAAGTATCAGTCACGGTACACACCGAGGCGGAACGCGTATGGCGTGAACATAGCAAGAGAAGAAACGCCATGAGTCGATGTAGCAACAGAAGCCGTGCGTGTCTGCTAAGCGCCCGAATTGCTGCGATCGTCAGACCTCAGTTGCTGGGTTGGACAGGCAGCGTTTAAAGTTGAGAAATTGTGGCAGACGGTGCTGCTGAGACACTAAATCCGGTATCTACAGCAATCAAGAAGCCGCGCGGACGTCCGGCTTTGTGCCAGTCACGATTCCGGCGTGCCTTGGTAAACTGCTTGCATCAGCTGAAGAACATCTTGGTTGCGCTTTCAATGCACAGCTCTTCAATAGAGCACTGGAGTGTTGCGACGCATCGCTTGTCAGAGCAGGTAGTGGTTGATCGTTTGCGTCGGGCCTAGCAGTTTGGAATTCTCCATGCGATTGAATAGCAGCTACTTCAAAATTTACGAATACTTTTTGAGACTTGATCAGTTTACTGACGTAATTTTCCAAGGAATTAATAGGGTTGGCTGCTGAGTTCATAATCACGTGGCAAATACATGCGTCCAGTGAGGCTTCAACGGAGTTGAAGGCGGACCGGGTGCCACTACAGAGCAAATTTCCAACATCGTCATGGACGGCAAATTGGTGACAACATTAAAGCTAGTGCAAGGTGTCTCTCGATTCCAGCTCTTGAGCTTCTACTTGACTTAATGTTAATCGGTCAACATCCTCGAGCAGGTATCGCTCAGCAAAAGTTCAATTGGATCAGCTTGCGATTGGCCCGATCGATCACCCAAACGAGGTAAGAGACGCAGACCAGTTATATTGCGATACTGATGCACTTGTATCGACAAAATCTAAAGCCGTGCTTTTCACCTGACGGTTCTTAAGCAGTCGACTAGATGTCGCGTCGGGTTAAGCCATGCGCATATTGCAGGTGTAGCCTCGCTTGCACACGCCAAGATCTTTTGCAGGCACGAGCCAGCACATTTGCGGCACTACGTACTGTTGCACGTGCGTGCCCCGCGTTGTACAGTTTCTTGTGCACGTCCATTCAATGATTATGCGTTCGCATGCTGTCGAAGATTGGATAACCCACGTTCACTATGGTCCACGTCGCTACGCGCTGGTTGGGCAAGACAAATTTTTCGCCGAAACGGCTGCCACTTCCAAATTTGCTTCCAAAGCGTCAGAGATAATAGCCGCCACGACGACGACGGATAATCAGCTGAAGCAATTCTTGCCACCCTTGTTCCGGCTTTTGCGCGCATTGCAACGCTAATAGAGAAAGGTCGCGACGGCTCAGCGTCGGCATAATGATTGTGATTTTTGGCAGCTCAAACGCCTTTGGACGCGACGTGGACGAGACGGAGATGATGATGCTCGCCGGGACGGTCTTCGTGGTATCTGTGCTCCTCGTGCTCGTGTACAAGCTAGCACGAGGCTGGGATGACTTGGAGAAAGAAGACTATGGCGCCAGTGTGCTACCACTGCGTGCACCTCGAGCAACTAATCGCTGGGTCAGCAGCCGCAAGACGCACTTTGGACGCCTCGGCACAATTCAGGAGAACGAGGTTTTCTTTTTTAGCTCCAAGAAGCGTTAGTGTGGTACCATCACTGCAGCCAAAGATACGGACAAGAGTAAAGTATAGAGGAGCGCGCATTGAAATGGAGCCAGGCAATAGCAACGGCAGCTGGCGCTCACGATCGAAGTGTGCGCTGGCCCATGTGGATGTTTGCTGCAGCCAGTATTTAAGCCTCGTGTAGTCAAGTCTAAACGGGAAGGCATAGATGTCATATTTAACATGCTCTCGATTGATTAATATTGCGACAACAAAGCTCGAAGTCACTACGTCGCGACGAGTGGTGTGCCATTGCTACTGTTGCGCGAAGTGGCATCACACGTGGTCACGATACTTGCGCACTTGGCAAAGCTCAAAATGAGCGTCAGAATCAGCCTATCGAGGATCTGCTGTCGCCAATCGCGTCGCCGTCTCGTTCTGACGTTACAGAAAAACGAACTCGAGTAATCCGTTGAAAGATTAGAGGGGGTACAGCCTCGTTAGTATGTTGTCAGCGATAGCACCAGCTTCTTTGTCGCTAACTTAATACGCGAATAAACTATTTAGCATTACTATACTATTAGACAAATCCATCGGAATTATTTTACGGCACGCCGCCCCGAGTCGGCAACGCAAGCAACGCGCGAATACTTTCCTTTGGGCGCGCTACGTTGCCATACCCCTTAAAGGCGCTGTCATGATATGCACCAAAAACCCGCGCTTTCTTCATTTCAGCTTTCACCATCAACCTGTTCACTGTAAGCATGGATGCGTCCAACAGCGTCAGCTGAAGAAAACGTTTACAGCAGGAGCAAAGTTCACAAACGGCCGTCAGTTAAACTCGAATGTGAGCGTGTATTAAAAGCCGGCGCAAACGTATCATGAATGATGTGAAGTACCTGTTCTGTAGTCGAACGGAGTTGCTGAAGTGCCGAGCGCTGAAGTGCATCGACACCTTGCGTGACTTCCAGTCTACACGACAGCTTCTCCTGCTGCAAAATTCCATGGATATCGGCCTTTTCCTGAATGACGCCATTATCTGGCTCCAAACCTGTGCTGCTAGCTTCGACTGTTGCGTCACTACATGCAAATTGCGTATCCATCTCAGCTGTATTCTTCAATTTCAGCCACTGCTTCTCTTCTTCATCCAAGCTACAAGCAAAGAAATAGTCAGATGTTGTAAAAACGCGCAGTGTTGATATCGAAACGCACTTTTTGAGCTGCTGGTTGTATGTCTCAATCGCTGAACGCATCCGAGCATTTTCTGGATTCGGGACCTTGATCTGCACAACATACAAGAAGCAATGAACCGGAAGCAAAAATACCAAAAGCGAGAGATGGAGACCGTACCGTCACGTTCCCTGGCGGGTGCTCTGCCATAAAAACAATCAGCTCCTGTTTCATTGCCTGCAAACTCGTCTCGCTAATCTGCATAATGTCTCGACGCGCGGCGGAGGTGAGAAACTCTTTCCTCACCTTTCGAAGTTCCCGCTTTACTTGTCGCTGCACCATGTGATAGAGTGACACCTGGTCGGCCGACAACTTCTTAGTCTTCATCTCCTCCTCGTTGAGCGCTTCTCGCGTGGCCTCCTCGCGCTTCTTTTGCCGCACCAGTCGTCGCATCTCAGCTCTGACTGCCTTCTCTTGCTTGGCTCGCAGTGCTGCTGATACCGCAGCCGCGTCCACTGCGTGCTGCTTCTCGACCTCCTTCTCATCGTCCTTTCGGACGCGAAACACAAACGTGTTGTCTTTTGCTGGTGTTCCAGGCTTTCTCTTTCCCACAGGCGTAGCCTCAACCGGCGCCTCATTAAATCCCCCGTCTTTCTTATCGCTAAATTTAAAGCCTCGTCGAGGTTGTCGCCGGGTGCCACTGTAAAGAAGAAGCACACGGAGGAGAATACGACAGTCAGCCCAATCACATACAGTATCAAGCCAAAGCAATGAGAGCTTACGTAAGAGCAGGTGCTTTCTGGCGCCTACGCTTTTCGCGTCGGACGACTAATGAGGCGGACGGCACGGCAGTAAAAGGCGTCGCCATCATTGTAAGTGAGATTATCCCTGAGCTGGCGTACCGTTCCCGCCTTTGTTCGATTTTGAATGTGTGAGCTACCTGATTGGTCAAAGGCAAGAATATTCAGGGCACTATTTAGAGTATTTGTCCAATGACACGATGTCTGAAGACAAGTAAAGTGCGGGGACAGACTCACCAATTCTGACACTCCAAATAGATATGCGACATCATACGAACGAGCTGCACGATCACGACCAATGCTCAACTTGATCTGGCTGCACTGCGTTCATTCTCACTCAGTTTTTTCGCCTTGAATCATCTCGTGCGCTAGGGCCGTTTGATATCTATGTAAATGCTGTATTTAATTTATCGAGGGTAGAACGAGTTTCCATGGTCTTTGTAGCAGCCGCTAAAAAAATACAGGGATGCCAAATGGCTTTTGGCACGTACAACGATCAACCTGTCTTCGCTTAGACGGCTTACTGAGATATAAGCGCGATGCATTTATACAGCTCTCAACAATTGTGGCAACGTAGACACACCGACTTTTATCGAGATTGCCATGTAGACAGTCTCGATAAAAAAACACGTCACTTCTCTCTTGTCGAACTTAAATTAAAGTGGCAGGACATTCTCTGCGCCAACTGTTACGATTTTGTTTAGTGCGTTCAAAGCAAAGGAGGCGAGTGTTTTGCGTATGTGATGATATGCCGATTCTGATGGATGACAGAGTCAACTCTTCGGTGGTGTTGTCGTGGCTGAGACGTCCTGGCACGCAATACTTCTGCTTCAGCCTTAGTGTCACCAGACTGCGCGGCGGGAAACTTCTAAGACTTCCTTCCTTGACCTGCGGTTCGGGTGGAATCATTGGTGCTTTTGCCGGTTCCTGCAAACGTCTCCCCCGCAGCCTTCCTGGCGGCTTTACGTTCTCTCGCATTCTTCTGCTTCTTTTCTTTGCTCGCCTTTCCACTCGTACCTGCATTAGAAGCATCACCACCACTCGCGACATTTCTCACCCTGCGCCCTTGCCTACGATTCCCGAAATCACTTTGCGCCGCCACTGCCACTACTCGAGCCCTCTCCGCTTTCTCCTGCTCAATCTCTGCCAAGATCTGATGCTGTTGCTGTATAAACACTTGCTCTTGCTGAAGCTTTTGGACATCCGCCAGTGAAACATGGCCAGGTGGGTGAACTAGTCCCCAGCTGTTAAGTGTCGACTGCGGTCGCTGTACCTGAGCAACGCCAGCACCGAAGCAGGTCTTCGCCTCTCGCTCACGAGCTGCAAATCGTTCTTCCTCTTCTTGGATCTCCTTCAGTGTTTTCGATGGCAATACCTTTTGCTCAGAAGCTATGTTCGAGTCTGGAGACAAGCCGATCCATGTCCGCGCAGGTCGCGCACCACGAGTGTTTTGACGTGCGGGTTGCTTGAGAAACGCACTTAGCGAAAACGCCGTCATCTGCTTGTGCCGATTACCGTCGTTATCCAGCACATGCTTGCCTGGTACCGGAGTCGGCGAAACAGAACGTTGCGGGCATGTCAAACATCGACTGCTCAAGTTTGCTTTGCGCTGTGTCAACACAAAGCCATTAGTGCCATCTTTACTTTGAAAAGGCACGGGCTCGGGAAACGCTTCCGGATCGACTTGAGGAGCGATTGAGCCGGAGCTGACTGTGGGCGATGCATGAGTCGCACAATTCTCCCGCGCTGTTGACGTTTTTTCTTCCCTTTCGAATGTAGAGGATACGTGGGCTCCCCACGGGCTTTTAGAATCACGTGAGGTGACGCTGCGAGCCTTGTCCGACAAAAACGATTGCAGTGGAACAAACTTATTGCTCTTGCCCCTACGTCGTCCATCCGGCTTGCTTGGTGTTGACAAGGTGGTGGAACAGTCGTCTCTCACTCCCTTGACTGTGACGTCCACTTCCTTTTGAGCCAACGACGACGATTGTTTTCTGCCTCCATGTGTGCGTTGTAGTGCACACGATTGCTTGTTAGCTGATTTGTTTTTCTTCATGTGCTTCTTAGACGCATCAACATCGACGGCAATCGCCAGTTTAATCGGTTCTTCCATTGGCGGCAGCATCATATCGAAGAGCGCCTCCATCCGCTCTCCCCCCACCATGTCCAAAACAGCGTCCCAATTTTCTTGCATATATCTTGAGCAAAAGTTTTGCAAATGGAGCGCAGCGTGGCGCTCCGCATATTGCCACAATAATGTGCAATTCGTGACGTTTACATAAGCTGCAACTTCCTTCTCCACTAGCTCCAATAATGGGGGGACCATATCCCTACCACTGACACCTGTCACATCATTGAATTTGGGATGTATCGGTGCTATCAGCACCGCCGTATGCTGGTGTCCAGCTGCCACTGCAACAGCTTTCTTCACACCAGCAACGCGTTTGGGACACGGTTGCCACGTGTTGCCACGTCCGTGGCCTAGCACACCCTGTTGGCCACAGCCCCACGTAACAAGATCGCCTTGCTCAGTGATCACAGCACAATGGTCCTGAGAAGCGCAAACACGAACGACAGGGCCGTAACTGCTTAGTTGCACCATTTGCGGAGCACTGGGCGACGGAGATGCTGCTACCTGGTTTCCAAATGGTTCAGCATGCCGGTCATGCAAGCTCCCGCTCGGTTGATGCGAAAGTGCAGGTACGTTGTGCCCCCACGTAAAAACGAGACCACTAGAACTTAGTGCGATCGAATGGTTTTGAGCGCATGAAACGTCCACAATATCAAGGCTGCGCTCCTTAGACGTAGGTACCCACGTATCACACATAACGGCTTTCCTCGCAGTGGGGATGGACGAGAACTTTACACGACTGGGACGGTATGAGCCGTACCCAAACTGCCACACTTGACCAACGCTGCGACCATTGCGAGAGCAGCGAAGCACTATGCATGTGTGCCAATCCGATAAGGCCAGTTTCTCAGCACGCACTGAATCGTATTCGCCATAGACAACATTCATAGGACATCGTGGGCGCAACGAGTCAACAATGCGCGGAGTAGCATCAGCTTGATCTGTTCCGCAGCCTTCTTTGCGCCCAAGTTGACCCCGACGATTACTACCCCAAGAGTAGATGGCACCGTCGTCAGCGCCAATGGCAGCAGAATGACATCCGGACACTGCAATGTCAGCCATGACTTGAAACCGGAAAGCATCAATACGCTTAGGCGTTAGGCGACTTTGCAAAGAGCTTGGCTTTCCTGGATGTCCCAATTGACCAAAACTGTTTGATCCCCACGAATAGACTTGACCAGTTCGAGAGAGCGCCATAGTATGATTCTCGCCCGCAACAACCTTCTTCATAGGCGTATTATTCAGCGACACTAGTTGTGTTGGCTCAATTCGGCTTATGAAACGATGACACAACAACTAGTAAGCAGAGGTACCACGATCATATAATGACTGATAACACGTACTCAAACTCATTTCCAGTGCCAAGACGGCCACCTTTGCCGAAACCCCACACGAAACACGCACCTGCCGCGTTAAGTGCTATCGTGTGGTACTTGCTAGCACTTAGTTGGACAATAGGGGAGCTTGCAGGCATCTCCACGAGTCGAGGAGTCGATAGTACGTCAGCATTCGGCAAATGGTATCCAAGCTTGCAGAATGCAGGGAGACAGAACGAGACTAGTTAGATTCCTGTACCAATTAACAATCAAAGACGATCCGTTCAGCACCTGGTAGTCGCGCTTTCCAAAAGTATAAACAATCCCCCCATGACCATCGGTCTCCGGGTACTCTCAATCTCCGTCTTAGATAGTCTCGTCGAAAGCAGCTGCATTGGGCTTTGCTGGGCATGATCTTGTGTCTCATGTAGATATTTGTGTAGAAATGACCGTCCAAAGCGCGTCTGGGCGTGACGTAGAAGCAGCAACGACGCTTTTAGTAGAAAAACCATACAAGATGATGGTCAAAAACTGACATTGCGTGTAAGTATCGATACTTTGCAACAACAGACACTTACTAGATAAGTGCTGGTGATACAGACTGCGATGCAGAGGCGTCCATCCGGACTCCTGTAGGAACATAGGGGCATCCCGTCCGTACACAAATACATACGTCAAGTGTTTCTATGCTCTATCATACATAAGCACGCACGCTCAGTCTACCTATCGACTAATAACGCACCCAATCCACGACCAAGAGACTCCCATCGTATCGAAGCAGCAGCTCCACTGCTTTATCATTACCATGAGTTGCCGCTACATGCAGAGCTGTCTCACCAATATCGTTACGGTCGTCGGGAGGTGCGCCTCCTTGCAGGAGTCGTGCGAGATCTTGCGTGGATGCCGGGGTCCGTGCACAGGTCCACAGGTCGAGCGTGTCATTTTTGTGTGTCGAAGACCGCATGCTAAATTGATAATCTGACAGACTTATGATGTCCTGCATGATCATATTGAGAAGGCTGGCCGCCTCCTACTGGCTAATGCCTCCATTTTTTGGCACACAGAGTCTTTTTTTCTCGACGGGGACACAACAGATCGCGTCCTATACTGTACCTTGATTAGAAACGGTCTTCATCATAGACATAATTTCTATGTTGATTCTGAATTTAAGGTATCCACTACAATTTCTCAAAACCTGCGTAAAAATATGACTACCAGGGGTTGGTGCAAGAAACGTGGTACAGTGAACGGAGCAGAATATTTTTGACAGTACAAAAGCTCCGCGAAAAGGAAAAGTGACGCAGAGCACGGTACAGGACAGGTTACACCCGTACCCCTGCACACGTCTACGGGATTTGAGACCATCATGTAGAATATGCACTTATCTCGCACAGCAATTGCAGCGATCAGTTCATAGCGGAGGATATACCAGTTATGACGAAGGGGTGCGGAACTATGTGAGTACAGCAGAAAGTTTTATAGGTTATCAGAAAGTTGATTCAATTGAAGATATTATTTTAATGAACAATCATGGTTCCCATTGACCGCTTAAGTGGACGAGCACACCGGTATTGTGATTGTTGATGTTGGCCAGGACAAGCGCCCAATCATCAATACATTGCTGGGGTGTCAAGTGTCAAGGACGGCAACAGCTAAACCATGGCTTGAACACTAAACACATATGGTCCCACCAACAAGAAAAATGAACAAAGCAGCAACGCATTCGACTTGAAAATGATACCGTTCGACTCACAGTAGGCTACTTGCGGAGTTTAGCAAGAGACGGCTGACTGATTTTACTTCACTGATCTTGGCTTATACCGCTGGATACTCAATCTTCGAGACTTAGCGTGATATCTTAACCAACTTCAATTGTATCGAAACAAAGCGCGACTTGGTCCAAGACCACCTACGCGGATTAAAGTTTTGTCAATATCGTGCCGCATTGTACCCGACACCAAGAAATCTCGTTTACTAAACAAAAGATACCGCCCAATACGCTTACAGGAATTTGAGATTTTTAGCTAGAATCATCGACAGCTAACCTGTTAGCGAAGTGGGCTGAGGAAGGGAGGGCGAACTCTATGCGTCGAGTCGGGGATTGTGCGTGCTTGTCACTACATTTCTTTAAAAATTACTAAAATTGCTGTCACACTGTAAGAAGGCTGCAAATCACACTGGTTCATTTGTCAGGATGGTTAATACAGCTAACAATTGCACTAAGCCAGGTCCGATGCAAATATTTTCGCTGCAAGTTGTCCAATCTTTATGTCGACGTGATGCATCGAACGACTTGAACAATGAGAACGTCAGGATCAATATATGCTCGCTGGGGAGTCTTTGCGAGAACAACTAGCTTGTCGGCTAGTTTGGGTGTAGATTTTAGAGCCTGCAAAAATGTTAGAGTTTGGATTCCCTACATGCCGTATTGATTTGTAGTGTTGCAGCTGTCGATATATCTAACGAAGGCCTCAAAAACACGTTGGTACGTCGCGCATTCACGCCAACAGTATTTCACCTACCCGGACACGCTGCTTGTGTAGAAGAGGCATAGTCTTTAAGTGTATCGGCCGTCTAAGCAGACTCAAGAAATTAGTACGCTACACATCATCAGCCGAAATAGTGACGATCGGTACCAATCCAAATGCTGATCAAGTTCCTTGCATACAGACACAATCATTCTATGTAAAACTGCCACTCGTAGCAAAACGCATCAGCGACAAAAGTCAAACATTTACAGAGGCCGTTTGTGTTTAATAGTCCTGGACAAGGACAAGATGTAGTCTACAGCCTCACTGCATTCGATGCGCTGTGTTTTGGTTCTGACGGCTTTTAACTGCATTCTTTTGATCGCCGCCATTTGACTTCCTCGATCTGATCGTCAATTAATCGGCTGAGGATAGTGAGAAAGAGGTTTTCATCTTGCACGTTATGATCGAGCTCATTGTTGAGGACCTCAAATTCATCTTTGTCGTCTTCGGCATCGATGAAGGAACATGTCAAAGAACGAGCATAATCGCCAGTGATTGAACCCTTGTGACCATTTATCATCGTGGCACCTTCAAGCATAGCACTCGATCCGGTATGCTCAACCTTCGCGTACTGGACGGCATTCGAAAGGGCATGCGATGCCATCTTGTCCCATAAATGCAAAAGCCGCGGTTCGTCGCTTCTGCTGGCTTCATGATGCAGAAGTTCACCATTGAGCGCAGAATGTTGCGAGCTTCCACTAGAACTTTTTTCGTCACCTTCAACCAAGCTGAAAGGAGCATAACTCGCCCAAAACCCAGGTGGAGATTGCGCGCCATCCGCGACAGGTGAGCCCCTAAATGATGGTTCTTGGAGAGACGAAGAATCGATCGACACCCGCAAATTACGGAATGCTGCCCGGGGAGAAGGCGATATATCTATTGGACCGCTTCCGCGCCTTCCTTCTGCTGCTGAGCCACTCGTCTTAAGTACCGATTCGATGACTGATTGCATGTGGCCGTGGAAAGCTAGCTTTTTATTTTCCTTGCGCTGCTTGATAACATGCAGCTGGCAAAACGCCTTGGTGCACAACTGCTCCAATGTAGAAGGGGCGTCAAGGTCTTCACGGCACATGGTCCGAGCAATTTCATACAAGGTTAAGTCTGCACGCACGCCTTGTTGCACCACCATACCAGCAATGATCATATTTCGCCGACAAGCGCGTCGCAACGGAATTCTTTTCGCCAATCGATCTGCGTCCTCCTGAGCGGACAAAGATAATACATATGCCCGGTCCTCTATACTTAATGGCTTTTGCAGCTGTGGCCAGTTGTACCAGCACCAATCACACCAGCCTATCTCCAGAAACTGTGGTAGGCAATAACCGTGGTCAATTGGTATCAATTCATACTCAACGTGGCTTGCGATCGATGACCGCCGCTTGCGCACAAGGACGTTTGCGTCGTTACGATCTGTGTTCAAAAGCCGCATGTCTAGAAGCGCAATCTTGTGAACTTGGTGAATCGAAAATTGGTTTGGTGCTAAATCGCTCACAACGTCATCGTGACGTACGAATTCCTGCAGCGATCCCATTTTAAAATGCAAGGCGCCCGCACTGCCCGTATAATTAAAAACAGGATGTCGCGATTCCACAAGGGATGTAGCGGGGACTCCCGCAAAGTGATCCTGAGCGCAAATGATAGATAAAGCACACTATTAGTCAATGCGCAACGCAAGCACGAATCTTGAATGCGGAGGCATAATACTTGCACGACCACTCGTCCATTACAAGTACGTTACGACCCAAGCTCAGCAGTACTTGTACCTTGTCTAGTATATACGCGGCAAGCTCACGTTCGCAGGCTTCCCCAGAAAGAATTCCTCGACGAAGGCCGCTCTACATCAGAAATGAGCCGCAGTTAGAAATAAATAAATGCACTTATCTCATCAGGATCCTGTCTTACCTGACCCAACTGACCCACCAACCCACGTGGATTATTAGGCCCAAAGGGCTCTTCATCTTGGGGCTTGAAGCAGCCCACATTGCGGTGAGATGGATCCTTGAGAAAATAAGTACCTCCGGTACCATCCATTGCTAATACCGGCGCTAGACCCAATGCAAGACCTTGTAACGCCTTCACAACTCGATTTAGTACACAAATTTCATGTGATACTACACACACAAGAACATGCCGCAATATACTACGATTGCAGCTTACCTGGTGCATAATTTTCATAAGCACTACTGGCAACAAATGTACACCATACGGGTGAATATTCACGACAGGCATCTGTTCTGGTCTCAGATTAGGCATAGCATTGTTATCCACTTGGTATTCTGCTGCCCTTTTCGCACCGCAACCTTCGCCGTTGTTTCTGCGATTGCTCACATCGAACCCACGCCCCTCATCGCATTTTTGCGTGTACATCATTGCAACGTTCTGCGGCCTTCTTGCTACAAAGTCCACAACAGCATTATCATGGTATATACCACATTGCTGCAAATTGTGCGCATTCTTGAGCTCTCGCCCCTGATAGAAAAGCTTTTGCGCATTCGATGGTACATTAAACACAACCTGCAACTGGTTTTTGATGTCCTTTATGCTGGCCCATGGATGTAGCACCAGCTTCTTACGGCGCTCAAGCGGGTCCCGAAAATCCTTGACATAAACCGCCACAGTTCCGTGGCCGCTCTCCAGCCAGCCACCAGGAAGCGAGCGCGACATCTTGACCTCATCACGTTGCATCGTTGAGAGCTTACTCAGTTGATAGCTACAGCTGAAAGGCTTTCTCCTGGTGGCACCGGTGGAATGAGCGGCAGACGCACACCACTATACGTGGGAGGGGCGACGAGCGTGTCAAACTCGAAACGTTACGTTCAGGATGAAAGAGGCCAGCGTCCTGTGAGCGACGTTCAGGTCAATTTTTGTTGAAAATATTTGTTGGCTACACGAATTTCAGATTTATTTGGCGGATCTCGTTTTCTAGCAGTATAAACCCTCTACGTCATTCGAGTGCATATAGACGCAGCTAACCTAAGATTTCCAGGTTCGATTTAACTCTCCCAATGCCATTGGCCTCAAGAAAGTTTCGTTTGGTCGCTAGTTTGTTCCCCATGATTTACAAGCTATTGTGTAACGGGGTGTCTCCGTTACATGGTAATTTACATAAGGTGATTGTCAAGTATGATACTATGTTAGGACAAACACAATATTCTCACAATATTATCCGAAAAGTTGATAGTGCTTCGCAAAAGCAATACTCAGCTCATTGGTTGATATAGGATCGAGATATCAACCAATAAAGTCGAGCCACGACAGAAGCACGCAATGAGTGTTGAGCGGATAGTTACAATACACGTTTGTATTTAGACATAGTCAAATGAAGTCAATGAGGGATTATGAAAAGGACTGACGATACGAAATACAGTTCTACTTTTTACCTTTACTGAGCACTCTTACTCCGTGTAGCAATCTTTATCTGCACGTACGTGAACGTAAGGTAGTCGGACGCACACGCCCTTGCACTGATAGCAGTGCAAGGTTTACTCAGTTAGCTGAATAAGGGTGCCCCGTTACACCTGGTAGCTCTTTGTAGTCCTTTCAAACTTCCATAAACATGCTGGACGATGAGGGGAGTGATGTCATCCCACGCATGAAAGATACTCTCATTTAATTCAAATTGAATGGGATGCCTTCGAACGTTTGAGTTCGACGGTAGGGTAAGAAGCCGTTGGCGCAATGCTGTCCGACCTGAAGCCGGACGGATAGCACACCACCATCGCCAAGTTCATTATGAATGGACTTGAGGCCAAGCGGGAAAAGGTTACGTTGCTTCACCAACAAGGTTCTCAACAGACGGAGCTGTTTAGAGAACTTATTTCTCAACACTTCAAAATGTTAAGACAACAGCAGGCACACTGCTACCGGGTCGATGTGTATACATTGACATAAGCCTTTTAGGATAGACATCCTTAAGTACGAGGAGGCCGATAAAGACTCCTTGCCGAGATGATTTATCGATCTAAATAATGCCATAAAGGCTTGCCAAGTAATCGATGAGCGGATGCGAATCGTATTTGCACAATCATACTCGGCAAGGCGTGCAAAGACGTGGGCTTAACCCTTAAGTTACACGACGCAAATGTATTTGGGTCGTTTGAAGTCTTCTAACCCCTGCTTAGGCAAACATTTGAGCTGCCGCAAGCTAGTTTCAGGGCTCGCTCTAAACTCTTGAAAATCAAGAAAGGCAAAGGTGACGTGCACTTGTACATTCAGTACATACGTCACCTTACCGGTTGAATAACAGTCGACACACTTAACTAACAATTGTTGGTTTCGTTGTTCAGGTAGGGTCTGACAGGTGGCGCCATTAAACACACCTGTTCCGGTTGAAATAAAACACCCTGGAAGAGGCCAGAAGGGTTGTGAGTAGGAGGACTTCAGCGTGAAACAGGATCACGCGAATTCGAATTCCTATCGTCCGTCAAGACGACAGAAAATCGAGGCCCAGAACCAATGGACATGTGTCACGCGTGAAGCAAGAGCTTTCGAGTTAACAGCTATAAGAAATTGATACATGCAATAGATGTCAGAAGACAGAATAATACGCATACAAATGAGTGCATCCAACGCGGTACCACGTACCGCAGGACACAATATTTGCCCAGCGGTCAAGCGAGGTCCAAGGCGTGGGTCCTACGTTGTTGCGAAGACGCAACAACGTTACGTACAGCCGAAAAACGTTCAGGGTCAGTAAATGCGGAGCGACCTACTGATCTCAATGTCAAGTGAGTTTGCAAGTCTCTTGACAAAAGTTGTTCCCAACACTCAATCATTGTGTGTTGCTGCTTCTTGTAATGATTTCTTCCTTATTACTTTGAAAAACGAAGTGACACGAAACGTGCCGCTTCGAGCCCTAGTCGATTGAGTGTCTTCGAACAACTTTGTACAACTTCAATCGCTAAGACAACAGATAGCTCGAATATATCGATATCGAAATCCCTCCAACGATAATGACGGTGTGCCTCGCAACAGGCGCATCCGTAGCAGTAATAAACGTGTAATGGGTATTACTTATACACTGAAGGTGTAACGGGGTGAATCGTTACATAACAATTTATAAGAAATTGTTAATAGAATATAACTATAAGAGTTATATTCTCAGAATATTGTCATAAGGACAATATTCTGTAGCACTTCCAAGTAGTTCCTAATTGGTTGATATAGGCCATTATATCAACCAACGAAGACGCGCCACGACAGACGCACGCAATGAGTGGTGAGCAGATAACTGATTTACACATTTGTATTTAGACATAGTTAGATGAAGATAAATAGTGATTTATTGCAGACATTAACTATTATAAATACAGTTCTACTTTTTACTCTAACCAAGTACTCGCTTCTTCTTACCGTCTTCCTCTGCACGTACGAGTGTACGTGAAGTTACGAGGCACCGCCTTATTCTGTCATCAGAATAAGTAGCTTGTACTGTCACCAGTACAAGCTTCAGGGTGCCCCGTTACACCTGGTAGCACTTCGTAGTCCGTCCAAGGACCGCGTTCACATCCAACATGAATATGTTGGATGATGAAGATGACCAAAGCTTTCACGCTACGCGTGACGGCTACTCCCATTTGAGCGATGTCGAATGGGATGCGGTTGAACGAATGGGTTCAACCATGGGCATCCATGCTGTTAGCGTCATGCTAGAGGCTCTCAATAGAGATGCCCAACATGCTACTATCGCCAAGTTCATTCAAAATGAACTTGACGCAGAACGCGAGAAAGTAGCCTTGCTTCACCAACAAGGTTCTCAACAAGCAGAGTTGTTGAGAGAACAAGGTGCTCAACAGTTTGAACTGTTGAGACAGCAGCAGGCTGCTGCTGGCGGGTCGATGCACTCGCGTCGGCCCGAGACTTTGAAGATTGACATCTCAAAGTATAGGGGGTCGAAGAAGACTCCCTCTTGAGATGGTTCGTCGAATTGGATGACGCCATAAGGGCGCGTCGCATCGACGACGGGGATATGCAAGTTGCATTTGCCCAGTCAAATCTGGCAGGACGTGCCAAGACTTGGGCACTGGGGCTCAAGCTGCACGACCCATATGCGTTTGGGTCGTTGGAAGTCTTCAAGTCGCGGCTCAGACAAACGTTTGAACCGCCTAGAGCTGAGTTCAGAGCTCGAACCGAACTCTTGAAGCTCAAGCAGGGTAAGCGTGATGTGCACGCTTACGCTCAACATATACGACATCTCACGAGTTGTATAAGTTCCAATCCGGTGGATGAACACACGTTGGTTTCGGTGTTCATGCAGGGTCTTGCGGATGGTCCCGTCAAGACTCACCTGTTCCGGCTTGAACTAGATTCACTAGAACAAGCCATTTCAATTGCGGAGCAGGAAGACTTCAGTCTGAGACAGGCTCGCGCCAGCTCGACATCATATCGTCAACCGAGGCGATGTGACAACGGAGGTCCAGAGCCGATGGAACTCTGTTATGTAGAGAGCGAGAAGGCTCGCTCTACAGGCTACAAGAAGTTGCATAAATGCAACTGATGTCAAAAGACAGGACACTACGCTTACGAGTGTAGTGCCCCTCGTCCAGTGTCTCGCGACACTGGGCGTAGTGACCGTCCACCCATGAGAAAGGGACAGGGACGAGGGTCCGCTGTTGGTGCAAAGACGCAACAACGGGATGGACCGTCAAAAAACGGACAGGATCAGTAGGTGCGGAGCACCCTACTGATCCAGCAACGTCAAGAGAATTTGTAGGCCTCTTGATGAAGGTTGCTCCCAACGCAAAAACGTTGTGCGTTGCTGCTCTAGGTAATGAGGACTCACTCATTACCTTGAAACTCGAAGTGACGAATAAGTTGTCCCTTCGAGCTCTAGTCGATTGTGGGGCGTCCAACAATTTTGTGCGACGCCAATCGCTAGAAGATGGTCACTTTAAATTCAGTGAATGTGACACACCTCCTACGAGGATGACGGTACGTCTTGCGACAGGCGCATCCGTAACCGTCATGAAGCGTATAGTGAAGATTCACTATACGCTAGAAGATACCCAATATGACGATGACTTTATCGTATTGGATTTGGATGACAAATTTGATGTCATCCTTGGAATACCGTGGCTCAGAAGGTACGAACCACGGGTAAACTGGCAACATCGGACAGTAACGATGCCTGCCGCTTGTTCAACAGATGGCCATCTGATGAACGTTTTGGAGCGTCCACAAGCGTGTGGATGTACTACGAGTGAGTGCGATGGCCTCACTTGTGGTACGGTCGTTAGTACGACTGCACAAAACCTTAGTGTACCAAACGGTTACACTTCGGAGCAAAGTTCCGGCGGCTGTGAGGAAACACAGGCTGCGCCGAAGGTCCACCACTCGAATAAGTCGGGTGGACTGGGACAAAGATGTATCCCTAGAGGGGAACATCTAGAAGAGAAACAATCGATCGCTCAGGTTAAGCGAAACGATAATCCTAGATCGACTGGAGAGTCTTTCGTAGAGGATCTCGCTGTGGTTGCGCAACCCCAGCTAGAGGAAGTAAAGGGAATAAGTCCCAAGATTACAAATACGGCGGAAATAAGTTCCCCGAAACCCGCGGGAATAAGTCCCCGGGAAGACGAAGGAATAAGTCCTTCGAAGCCTGAGGGAATAAGTCCCCAGGAAATGACAGAGACATTGAATGTCATAGTCAATAACGGATCATGTGTAGGCGCTTATACACTTGATCT